GATTAAACATTCCACATCAAATACTTCCTTCGGTGTTGAGTATTTATTATCGGATCTGGTACTGTTAGCAACAGGCTAGTTATTGCTTCAACTAACATGGTAGACGATAGGTATTCTCTCATCCACAACACATAAATACAGTTTACCACAGGGCAAATAACAGAGCGTGATGTGCTCAGGGTTGTTGTCACGTGATGACAACCGTTAAGCGGTTAAAGTACTCGTGACATCCGATTGGTCAATAATTATCTATAGGCAGCTACTTCCTAATGTCAACAAAGATCGTTGTCGGTGTAGAACTAATTTCAATACGTCCCAGTTAGATATAGTCAATATTGTCTCTGTGCATTCAACCGATAAATGGTACTTCGGTTTGTAGAGTCGGTCGGGAACAGGGGGAGGGGGGGTACAGTGGGTGAGGTCGGGGCCAAGGGGGCATAGTGCGTGAGGTTGGGACCAAGGGAAGTAATGCACTGGCTCATTAGGCCTAACCAGAAGGACCCGGTTGTTAATTGACCGAGATGTCCATTTATCAGGGAAGCAGGAAGGTGGTGGTGGTGGTGGTGTGTGTGTGTGTGAGTGTGTGTGTGTGTGGGTGGGTGTGTGGGTGGGTGTGTGGGAGGGGTGGTGGCAATAAACAGTGCCTTGTTGGTCGGATGGGACCAAGGAGGATTGGATTTCCGAATGGTTAGCGCGTGCATAAGGTCTTTCATTGAGTCAACTAGTCAAGGAGTAGGGTCGCCTGTCCAACCGCGTGGGTTTTCTCCCACTGCTAAAGACAAAATAAAATCCTATGAAATGGGGTTTAACGTCCTACTGATCTGTACCACCTGGGCTAATGAAGATGGGGATATCATAGACAAATTTTCCTGAGAAACATATATACGACACTCAAGATCTAGAGGCAAACGGTTGGGAATGGGGGGAATGTGAGGCTGAAAGGGAAATCACAACCATTATCGTGAAAATCGCCTTCCGTGTCAAATGTCATGGATAAGGGGAGACCTTTAAAATATTTAACGTCACAGTTTTTGATTGGTAGTTTGATAGGTCGACAAATAACAGTCACTGATCGAGATATGATGAAGAATTCCATCAACCAGTCGCGACGTTGTTTCCACCGATTGCCAGGGTAATGGACTTTGATCCCACTTTTCGTTACACGTATGTGTCTCGCCTTTGTATACTATATCTGCTGATAGAGGATTGGTTTCAGACGAGTTATCTGCCCCTGAATTTCATAATCTCGCTAATGAATAAAATGAAATGAAATGGAATTGGGTTTAACGCCCTACTGTTCTGCGCCGAACTGGGCTAATGAAGACGGGCATATGCCATACAGTGTGCTATGAGGGAAATAAATTTTGCCCGGACAGCGGCAATATAGCCTACTTTTATATCGAATTCCAGCTATCAAGGGATCTTTTACGTGCATGCCAATGTTGTGTACATGGGACCTCGGTGTTTCGTCCCATCCGAACGACTAGACAGCTGTCCTTGTCAGGCGCGTCTTCAAAGATGATATAAGCAAGCGAGTACCAACTTTAAAGCGACAGTAGGTAAGATAAGATAAAGAGCTGTCAGTTCTCGCTATAATAGTTACAAAACAGATAATGAAAAGACAATATGCTGAAAATTTCAGTCAAACTACTTCATCCTACGCCTAGATATTGGTGATACAATTATAGGCTAGCCTCGATTATCATTTCTACCGTTGTTATGATAATAAAGCCTCGATAATCCATTGTTACGATATCCGCATCCAGTACAAAACGTATTTGAATCTACTAAATATCGCAAGAATTCGATGACATCGAAGTTGAGTATGGTCTTGGTAAGTTAAGTAATGTCTAATTAATGGTCTATATAACATTTCATGCCTAAAGAAAGACACGCAATAGGCATATTTAGCTCTTGAATACTGTCTCTTTAAGTATTTGGTCGCTAATCAAATATATTTAACCTCATATTAGAAATAACCAGAGCACCAATCTATTAATAAAAACAGAGACATTTCTACTCTGAGCATGATTACAAAATTCACAGATTTCCTTGTTACCAATAATGTTGGAGAGAACTTATATAGGCATTTGCCTGTTGTTCAATCCATTTCAGTTTATTGAATAAAATATTGTTTTAACTAAAGACGTATGTAGTTCATAATTAACTAACACACGTTTATGGCGAAACTGACTTAAAAGTCAGTTACTTAAAAGTCAGTTTCGCCATAAACGCACTGACCAAACATGACGAAATATAAAAAATCTAAGTTGTCCTATTGTCTAATGTCCGGGGAAATAAAATTATAGAAGTCGATTGTATTTTTAAATGTTCCCGTTCCCAGGAGCCTGCTATTCGTGACTTGTTGATAGATGGATATCAATCTGATACAAGTTTCACCTGGATTACTTTGATGTTTTGCCGACAGATTAACAAAACCAGGTGAGCGAAATGGTCAGTATCGTTGACATAGAAACCGTGTCATTATATATTGTCCCAATGACCTCGGTCAGTGACGCCATATTGATTCTAAGGACGATATTTTGTTTTGTTTCACGCATCCATACAAATTCTCTTCCGATCGGATATTTCAACGCTCAAATGCCACCGATTCCGTTCGAATATTTGTCGGATAATATATAATTACTCGCGGCTTACAACACACTAAAATCTACCCAGATTAACAAAACCAAAAAAAAAAATTACCAAGGCAGATAATCTGCAGGCTCTGATTTCATTTTATCAAGAGAGAGAGAGAGAGAGAGAGAGAGAGAGAGAGAGGGTCATTTCTGGACTAACATATGGTTCAATTTATATGCGCATAGGGGTCTATAGCTGTGGGAGGAAACCGGAGGACCCGGAGAAAACCCACGAGGTTGGACAGGCGACGCACAACAAGCGGGGGAATCGAAACCATCGCTTCACTCAATGACCCCCCCCCCTCATTTTTTCAAATATAGACCAAAGAAGGAGAGAGGGAGAGTGAAATGAGGTTTAAAGTTCACGCGACACAAACTAGGTCATTTCGGGACTAACAATTTTATTTCAATAATTCGCGTGGGCGTAGGGGTCTTTAGCAGTGTGGGGAAACCGATCGACTTAACATAATTCCTTTAGACCACGATTAAGCTGCTGTTGTTGTTTATTACAAATTTAACGCCCAATACATAATACATGATATTATGGACAGGTTGATTTAAATATAATTATTTACATATGAATGAGTGATAAAAGGGTAAAAACGTAAAAAAGGGCACTTTAAAACACGGTTTTAAAATTCGCTGTCGTGAGAAAAGAGAAGGGTCATCTTCTGCCATCGTCAGAATAAAGTTAAGTTAAAACAGAAGGTTAAGTGCGACCAAACAATTGTTTGGTATACTGTCAATTAAAATTCCGACATTGACCAATGGTAGGACAGTTGGTAAGAACTGGTGGACAGTGACCGGAAGATGGCTATATCCGGGCGTTACAAATAACAAAAGTGTAATATATATATAGCAGTATCTAATATTTACAACTACAAAACTAACATTGGCTTAACCAATGACCAATGGAAGCTGGCCATACAACAACAGATACGACACGGATACAGAGTTTGTTGAAATGGTATTTACACCGTTGGACACAAACAATCCTTTAAAAAATAAGCTAATGAGCACACAAGACCAATAACCTACTTAATTACCAGTTAGACTCGTATTTAATCTGTTGCCGGTCACCTCTGGCTCCCGGTTGTGGTTTCGATCTGTGGTGTGAGCGTATGTGGCTTGGAGATAGGAGCGCCTTCTTAACCTCGTGGGTTTACTCCGGGTACTCCGGTTTTCTCCCACATGAAAGACCCTGCGCGTGCGCTGAGATAATAAAAATGAAAATAAGACAACATGTCTGCGATATCACCTTCGGTAGAAGCGGACATTCAACACTAAAAACAAAATTCAACCTACTGACAGTAGTTTCTATGAGGTATTTAACCTGATGTCAGTAGTTTGTATAATAAATGAGGTTTTTAACCTGTTGTCAGTATTTTGTATAATAAATGAAGTATTTAACCTGTTGTCAGTAGTTTGTATAATAAACGACGTATTTAAACTGCTGTCTGTTGTTTGTATAATAAATGACGAATTTAACCTGCTGTCAGTAGTTTGTATAATGAATGGGGTATTTTACAGGTAGCTCCACTCGGCACAGACTAGGTATTTACGGGAATAACAGAGAGATTCTCTCGCATTCCCCTTTTTAATAATCAACACGCCCTTCCTGGCCATCACTGGAATGGCGAAATGTTACACTATTTTAATTGCACCGACTAAAATCAGTCAAGCCCTGCTGAAATGAAATGAAATGAAATGGGGTTTAACATCCTACTGTTCTGCCCCGAACTGAACTAATGAAGACGGGCATACGCCATACAGTGTGCTATGAGGGAAATACTGCCCGAACAGCGGCACAATACGACCTACTCTTATATCGAATTCCAACTGTCAAGGGATCTTTTACGTGAACGCCAATGTATACATGGGACTTCGGTGTTTCGTCCCATCCGAACGACTAGACAGCTGTCCTTGTCAGATGCTCCGCCCTGCATCACTGACAAGGGGGAACCACGCCGGAAAATCTGGATGAACTCTTTCTCAGCCAATGCAGGGATCGAACACCCGCTAACGTCTTACTCACTTAGCCACCGTGACCCCCCTCCCCCTCAAGCCCCGCTCCGTATAATGGGACTATATCGCGTTAGCGCCTTGAATTGGTTTTCTGGAAGTAGTAAAACGGTTATTATGGAAATGAATACGTTTTTAGAAGATTAACTTCGAATAAGCGGACAATGTGATTACAGATCTATAGTGCAGACAAATAAAACTACATTTTGAACTATTAATAAACTAAACGAAATAGGATCTGTGTTTAAATCAGATCGAGTAACTCGATACACACCTTGATTGATGTATCGGTTGAGAAGTCAGACCACTAACATTCCAACTTAATTTAAAAATACTTACACGTAACTAGAAACATCCGTGATTGGGTTCTTATGTTCACACGTCTCAGTTGAACAGATGCGTTGCCAGCCAGATATACAACAATGGTTTGTCTCCCCTTGGCACCAATTATCATGATAAACACTATTCTGATCTACGTAACTACAGTTGATGACGTCACTCATGGTTTAAACACTCACCATTCATGACGAGAATATGAAGATTCCTGCAAGTATAAATACAAGTCTATTAAAAGTAATTCAATGCGGCCCTTTTTGATTATAATATATTGAGGGGGGGGGGGGGGCTAACGCGTGGGTTCTTGTCACTGAGACAAGTGACATGGTTTCGATTCCCAGCTTCTGTACGTAACAAAAGGAGTGGGCTTGCCTGTCCAACCTTGTGGGTTTTCTCTGGGTCCTCCGGTTTCCTCCCACAGCTATAGACCCCTAAGCACAGGCGTATTAACGAAATACAATTGAACCACATGTTAGTCCCGAAATGGACGTTAAACTCCAACCTCTCCCTCTCGCTCTCTCACTCTCGCTCAATCTCTCTCTCTCCCTCTCCGGGGATAAATCACGCGGTTGCCCCAACGCTTTGACAGAATCGGATCTTCATCACTGTATAATAATATTGTTCAACCGGTGTCAAACAAACAGGCCTACCGTGGATCGGATATGTTACAAATCGGCCCCATGATTGAAGTATTGGGTCTTCAAGAATCATTAAAAATACAAACGAAAAACCCCACCTTTATGAAATGAAAACACATTTAAATAATCCTCTTACTGACATTAACAACATAGAAACTCAATTTATTAAGACCTATCGTTCATTAACGGTGTATAAATGGCTTACTGATTTGAAACTCGCTAATAATCAAGAATCGTTTGAAATACAAAAGAGCTATCCTACCTTTATGAAAAAACAACTTTTAAATAAATCCTTTTTCTGATATAAAACCTATTGACCATTAACTTTGTATAAATGGCTTACTTAATTGTAACCCCCAATCATCAACAATCGTTAAACGAACAGAAGAAAATCCTACTTTAAAATAAATCCTTTTTCTAATATAAAACCTATCGACGCCATGAACTGTATAAATGGTTTAATTAAGTACGTTATATATATATCCGGGTATCGATATTAATGTAAAAAAAAACTGGAATGCTCTTTGTCATCGTGTAATTACATACCGTATGACAATAATCAATGACGCTGATTGGCTTATTGAATAAATACCAAACACCACGTCATATCGATGGACGGAACTCTGTTCATGATTTTACACGAAAATTGCATTTACTCATACGGGTCGCAACTGCCACAATCAAAGCGACTTTTGAGAATAATCGAACCATCGAGGAAGTCATCAGAAAATTGTTTTGTGTTGATACAATTGGTTCTTCTCAAGGAGTTAACAACAAGTCAGACGAAGCGTTGATTCCGCGTTAATAATTAATAAGTGAAGTGACGGATGGGAAGGTACAAGTAGGTTAAAGTCAGGTTGAAGATATACTCAACAATAGTACACATCCATTCAGAAAGAAAGTCAACATTTATTAATTATGGCAATCATTATATCAATTAGGCCATGTTTGGGTAACTATGATAACAGTTAGGTCATGTTAGGGCAACTATGATAACAGTTAAACAATGTTAGTGCAACCATATCAGTTAGGTCATGTTAGGGCAACTATGATAACAGTTAAACAATGTTAGTGCAACCATATCAGTTAGGTCATGTTAGGGCAACTATGATAACAGTTAAACAATGTTAGTGCAACCATATCAGTTAGGTCATGTTAGGGCAACTATGATAACAGTTAAACAATGTTAGTGCAACCATATCAGTTAGGTCATGTTAGGGCAACTATGATAACAGTTAAACAATGTTAGTGCAACCATATCAGTTAGGTCATGTTAGGGCAACTATGATAACAGTTAAACAATGTTAATGCAACCATATCAGTTAGGTCATGTTAGGGCAACTATGATAACAGTTAAACAATGTTAATGCAACCATATCAGTTAGGTCATGTTAGGGCAACTATGATAACAGTTAAACAATGTTAGTGCAACCATATCAGTTAGGTCATGTTAGGGCAACTATGATAACAGTTAAACAATGTTAGTGCAACCATATCAGTTAGGTCATGTTAGGGCAACTATGATAACAGTTAAACAATGTTAGTGCAACCATATCAGTTAGGTCATGTTAGGGCAACTATGATAACAGTTAAACAATGTTAATGCAACCATATTAGTTAGGTCATGTTAGGGCAACTATGATAACAGTTAAACAATGTTAGTGCAACCATATCAGTTAGGTCATGTTAGGGAAGCCTTGTTATCAATTAGACCTGGTTAGGGCAATCACAAGATGTAGCGTAGATTGTTTATTATCGTGGACCCGTTACTGGACAGACAAGACAAAGTATCGCTTATCTATTGTAAATCTAGACGATCAAGAGTTAATTATAGCCTTGGCATATCCAATCTGATTAAAATAGAGATCGTTTTGATGGCCTCTACTACATGAAGATCTGACCGGTTATAGCGGAAGGCCAGAGTTGATGTTTATAGTAGGTTACCCACGGTCCGTGCACCTCATGCCAAAAACTCGCCGTAACAGACCGTTTCATTGGCTAATCCTTCACATCATCCAGAACGCAGTTTAAAAGCTTGTTTTAATCAGATTGTGGCATATCAATAAATGTCTAAATAATAATTTACATAACATTTGAAGGCAGAATGAAGAACTACATAAGGCAGATTTAGCTCTTACATAATACGTCTTTAAATGGCCGGACTATAATATAATACAAAATTATTTCACATTTTTGCGAAGATCGGGCAAAATGATATGAAAAAGAAAATAGGGTTTAACGTCCTAAAAATAAAATTGAAACATGTGTTAGTCCCAAAATGACCTATTTTGTGCCGAATGGACGTTAAACTCCCCTCTCTCTCTCTCTCTCTCTCTCTCTCTCTCTCTCTCGCTACAGTCACCGAAATGCAGAATCTACACTTCATCAGTAAACTTTTGTAATTGTTTTGGCATCATTGAGAATATGACGCAGTGCAAAAGTATTACTTCTACTAAAATGTATCGGCGAGAACATGAAATATAAATGTGGATGGAAAGCAAGAACAATGGTTTTAGATACGTAAATGGATTTGCAAGCATGTGTATAGTAATGCTTTTTATAGTTTCAATACATTATTTAAGAAAATAAACAAGTTCCATACTTCCCCTTATATCTAGGTCTCCTAGTTACGTGTCATCATGGGAATAAATACAACACTGGATTTTGTTTGCTCGGGATTTTAATCAAACAAAAATCAGATATTCTAGATTTCTTTGATATGTACCGCTTATGTTATGTCGTTATGGGAGCCACGGTGGCTGGGTGGTTAAGACGCTGGCTTGCTATACTGGAGGTCGGGTGTTCGATCCCTGCATTGGCCGAGAGAGTTCATCTGGATTTTCCGACGTGGTTTCCCCTTGTCGTGGTGCAGGACGGAGGGGTCGAACACCCGACCTCCAGGCTAGCGAGCCAGCGTCTTACCCACTTAGCCACGTGATCCCCCAGAACAATAGGACGTTAAATCCCATTTCATTTCATTTCGTTATTTCTCTCCACACACAACAAATCACAAATTATAAATTCCTTTGGCAAACCCAATAAAAAAAAATCGAAATGGTCCACCCTCTTCAATAGTTTTAACAGGCTTGTATAATTATCTCAAATCATCTTAGTCGAGTTTCGTGTAGTACTTCCGGCATCGTGACGTACGCCCGACATAGAAAACCTTAGAGATACATTATTTATTATTATTATTATTACAGCATATTTATAGTGCACCCTTCCTTTCATATAACATTAGTTAAGAGTTTGATAAAGAGTTGGTCATTATCTTGCTATAATAATTCAAAAATAGATGATGAAAAAAGAAAATATTGAAAATTTCATTCAAATTACTTATTTTGTTTTTTCATGCCCAGTTCGGAGCAAAACAGTAGGACGTTAAACCCCATTTCATTTCATTTCTTTTTTCATCATCTATTTTTGAATTATTATAGCAAGATAATGACCAACTCTTTATCAAACTCTTAACTAATGTATCGTCAAGCCTTTTACAAATGATAAACGAGATATTTTATCCTTTTAATTCATGAAGTGGTATGGAGCTTTCTAGAAATATTTCGTGCTGCGATTGAAATCGTGGTTTTAATCGTGGCGTAATCGTGATGATCCTATCAGGTCTTGTCACACATTAAGATCATTCGTAGCAATCGTGTTGATCGTATAGAAACGTATCCGAACGTATCGGCACGTACCAGATCGTAGACTCATTAGAAACTTTTGGCAAGCTGAATTTTTCCGTATCGCATACGTGAAACGTTGCGTCAATGTAGTTTTAAAGTTTTGGCAGATTTTTTTGGCGTCGCGTAAGTATCATCATCAGTACTAGTCAAGTGCTTAGCCTACAATTTCGTGGAGTCAAATCTTCGATTTCGACTCGACAGCAATTGTTGGTTTCACTAATTTAGCACGTAGATCAACCAGCATGTAGACAGGCTAGAAAAATATGATAATTCCGTGAAAATAATGATTAAATTCCAGTCTTTATCATGGTTAAAATCACATCAAATATACACCTTCGTGTTCTAGGATAAATATAGATTCATAAAAACGCTATGATACAACATATCGTCGTCTAAAAGTAGCAAAAAGACAGTAAAAAGACGGCAATGTTATACGGACCTTTTCCTTATGAAAGCTGTCCGATACGTGCTGCAGTATCCATGTGCCGTATCACGTATGAGGAATACACAAACATTGATCACGTCACACGCAAAATCCATACGGATACGCGATACTGACCAGGAATATACGCTTGCCAAAAGTCTCTAACAGGGACAATCCTATCGTCACGCATCGAACGACAGCGAGAAACTAGCAGCGGATTAAACAATCTAATTAACATGCAGATCAATATTTTGTTTCGCTTTTTTATACTTTCGATAGCCTGCACTACATGAAGATCTAACCAGTTGTAGTAGAAGGTGGCGCCAGAGGTCGCAAGAGCGACTTTTGACCCTATAACGTCAGACATTGATTAGTCAATCAGCGTTGACGTTTCTAGTTGTTTACTCACAGTTCCGTGCATTGCCTAATTACTTCATCCAGAACGCAGGTAATATAACAACTCTTCCAGATAGTATAGTAAAGACAAGTTAAACAAAATTTTGAAGTATAAAAAACGAAACGAACTAGGATCTGTGTTTTAAAGGAGCTAAATCGCTAATATTTTGGACCTAGAAATTGGCACAAATGGGTCGCAACTGTTTTACATTCAATCGTGTCCGTTATCAGTTATGTTCGGCGAAATACGCCTGAAGTCTCAACCGCAAGTCAGTTTCTAGCGTCTGGTTATTCCAGTCAACACCGATATTATTTATTGCGCATGCTCTCTAAATAAGAACATGATATCCGCGTTTGACATGACTTATGGAATATGTCTAGCCTCATTCTTTTAGCACCTTGTTACAAATGGCGCTAAAACGCATTATGGTACACGATTCGTGTACCAATGGTAAAATGTTTATTTTGTCTTAAATATTGGATATCAGAAGCCCATCTTTTCCAGGTAAGATCACAACACCAATGCTGATTTAAATTGCAAAAAAAATCGTGTTTTCAATGTCGAAGATTTTGGATTATATTGAGTTACAGACTTAGCTACTTTAATCAGATTGCGGAATAAAATACATTACATCTCGTGAACACAATACATTACATCTCGTGAACACAATACATTACATCTCGTGAACACAATACGTGTATAGGCTATTGAAATAAACAATAACATATTTCCTATGGTATTCCTAGTAAACAAAAAACATTATGAAATAAATTTCCCACTTACAATAAGCGGGGTTGGATGGCCGAATGGTTAGCACGCGCGCGCTATATCATACGATCTGTCATTGAGTCAAATGGCGGGGTTTCGATTCCCCGGTTGTATACATGGAAAGGAGTAGGGTCGCCTGTCCAACCTCGTGGGTTTTCTCCAGGTCCTCTGGTTTCCTCCCACTGCTAAAGACCCCTACGCGCAAGTGAATTATTGAAATAAAATTGAACCATGTGTTAGTCCCGAAATGACCTAGTCTTGTCGAGTGGACGTTAAACCCCATCTCTCTCTCTCTCTGTTCTACAATAAGATTGTCCAGAATGGTCTACTGCATCCTCCGTTTATATCAACTCTCTCCGCTTGAGGGGGATCACGGTGGCTAAGTGGGTAAGACGCTGGCTGTTTCACCCTTGTCAGTGAAGCGGGACGGTGGGAATGACTAGGCCAGCTGTCTAGTGGTTCGGATGGGACGAAAAACCGAGGTCCGTGTATACATTGGCGTGCATGTAAAAGATCCCTTGACTGTTGGAATTCGATATAAGAGTAGGCCGTAGTGCCGCTGAACGGGCAAAATTTCTCTCATAGCACACTGTATGGCGTATGCCCGTCTTCATTAGCCAAGTTCCGTCTTCATTATCCAAGTTCGGAGCAGAACAGTAGGACGTTAAACCCCATTTCATTTCTCTCCGCATGAATCAGTTTTTGATCCATACGTTACACAGAAATATCGGCTTGTTCAGCCTCCCTACTATCCTCTCTTATTCTTTCAATGGCGTGTTACCGCCCCTCTCCGCCCATCCCGGCCTCTCCATTTCTTTTAATGGCGGTCTGTCAGCCATATCTCCCTCCTCCCTCCCCCAGACTCGCCTATTCTTTTAATGGAATGTCACCTCCCTTCTCCACTCATCACCGTCTCTCCATTTCTTTTAATGGAGGTTTACCCGCCCGCTCTTTCCTCGCTCGGGCTCTCCCATTCTTTTAATTTGGTATTGTCCCCCGCGTTCCCTCCTCCATCGCCCCCAGATTCTGCTATTCTCTAAATGGAGTATTGCCTCCCGCTCCGTCTTCCCTCATCGCCCCCGGGATCTCCTATTCTTTTAATAGGGGTTGCCGCCACGCATCGCCCCAGCCTCTTCTATCGTTTTAATGGACGTTTGACGTCGCCTTCTCTCTTTTCCCAGGGGGGTTGGATGGCTGAATGGTTAGCGTGCGCGCGCTGTATCATAAAGTCTGTCATTGAGTCGACTGGCGTGGTTTCGAATCCCCGGTTGTACGTGACAAGGAGTAGGGTCGCCTGTCCAACCTCGTGGGTTTTCTCCGGGTCCTCCGGTTTCCTCCCACTGCTAAAGACCCCTACGCGCAAGCGAATTATTGAAATAAAATTAAACCATATGTTAGTCCCGAAATGACCTAGTTTGTGTCGAGTGGACGTTAAACCCCATTTCTCTCTCTCTCTCTCTTTTCCCAGCCTATTCTATAAATGGAATATTGCCGGTATCCATTTCTCTCCGCCCTTCCTCTAGCCTCTTTGTTTCTTTCAGTGGAAAATTGCCGGCCCCGCCATTCATATGCAATCCCCGAGCGTCTCCTATTCTTTTAATGGAGTGTTGCCGGCCCATCCCCCATCCGCCCTCCCCTATTCATTTAATGGAGCGTTCCCCGGCCCCTCCTCCCCTCCCCAGACTTTCCTTTCAATGGAGTATTGCCTCCCGCCCCGGCCTCCCCCATCGCCCCCAGCCTCTCCTAATTTTTTAATGGAGTATTGCCTCCCGAACCGGCACCCCCCCCCCCCCCTCCATCGACCCCAGCTTTTTTAAAAAGTATTGCCTCCCGCCCCGGCCTCCCCCATCGCCCCCAGCCTCTCCTAATCTTTTAATGGACTATTGCCTCACTCGAATAATAGTGTTACGCCTATTCTTTTAACGGAGTGTTGCCCACCCCTCCTTTCCTATGTCGTTTGTTATCCCCACTGGACCCTAAAACGCATCCCTTCATTCCCAGGTGTGTACAGAAATCTCAAAGATGCTATAATTCCTCAACATCTCATCTTAATTAAAACCCACTCCTTCAGTCTCCTTCATGTTACAAATGCACTGAAACGCATTTGGGTACACGATGTTGATTTAAATTTACAAATAATCCGTGTTTTCAATGGCGAAAACTTTGGATGATATTGAGTTAGAGACTTAGCTACTTTAATATGAGACGGAGGGAGAGAGAGCAATGGGGTTTAACGTCCACTCGACACTAACTAGGTCATTTCGGGACTAACATATGTTTCAATTTTATTTCAACAATTCGCTTGCGCATAGGGGTCTTTAGCAGGGGGAGAAAACCCGAGGACCCGGAGAAAACTCACACGGTTGGACAGGCGACCCTCCTCCCTGTCACATACAACATTTGACTCAATGACAGACTATGATACAGTGAGCACGCGCTAACCATTCGGCCACCCTCCGCCCGTTCCTTCATTCTCAGGGGTATACAGAAATCTTAAAAATCTTATAAATATCTAACATCTTAATTAAATTGTAAGATTAGCACCCACCTCTCTATCTGAGCATTTATACGATCCGACAAATTCCCAGGAATGGATATATCCAAAACTCCAAATCGACACCAGCACCACAACATACAGACCAAATCATCCAGACGAAAACTCGATCCTCCAACGGAATCTTCAGCTATACATAAGGACTGTATTACATACAGATCGAAATCATCGATAACGTCAAATCAATCGTTTTGAATACGTTAATTCTGCAAGGCGCGAGATTCCTGGAATCAATAGAACGTCGGCGACAGATCGATACTACCCGCCATAGAATCCGAGAAGGTACAACATAGAGATATTTGTTCGTCAACTTACGAGTTAATACCCTCGTGAATATTAAACATCAAACACAAAAGACGGCGATCGAACATTAAGGGCAATAAGTGGGAAATGTTTTATTGTTAATTTGGATAACGTCATATTTTGCGCCTGGTAACAATAACGTCACCTGTAGCTGTAATATTAATTAATAATAGAATTCCATATTTTAACATGTCGTTGACAGAAAGGTGAAATAAATCTTCATTAATAACGTCACTGTCGAGGTAACTATGCACAGAATAATATTTAGTTTAAAGGTACAACGCGATCAATATTTAGTTTAAAGGGAAATGAAATGAAATGAAATGGGGTTTAACGTCCCACTGTTCTGCTCCGAGTGGGCTAATGAAGACGGCCATACACCATACAGTGTGCTATGAGGGAAATTCTGCCTGGGCAGCGGCGCTACGGCCTACTCTTATATCGAATTCCAACTGTCAAGAGATCTTTTACGTGTACGACAATGTATATACAGGAACTTTCTCGGCCAATAGTTTAAAGGGATCACAAGATGGGTATTTTGTTTAAAGAGACCGACCATAGAACCCATCAATATTAAGTTTAAAGGGGCTGCAGCGGAACCCATCAATATGCAGTTTAAAGGGACCGCACATGGAAGCGACCACACATAATTATTTAGCTTAGAGCGAGAGAGATAGAAATGGGTTTAACGTCCACTCGACACAAACTAGGTCATTTTAGGACTTGCATATGGTTCAATTTTATTTCAATAATTCGCTTGCGCGTAGGGGTTTTTGCAGTGGAAGGAGACGGGAGGAACCGGAGAAGAAAACCCACGAGGTTGGACAGACGACCCTACTCCTTGTCAAGTACAACCGGAGATTCGAAACCACGCTAGTTGACTCAATGACAGACCTTATGATACAGGGCGCGTGCTAATCATTCGCCCCCCCCCACACACACACCCGGCAACAATAAATGTTAGATATAAAGTTTAAGGCATACATAATGAAACGTATATTTAATAAAATTCACTCCAAATTAAAAAGAGTTTAATCCAAATATCATTCAAGTAGATCAATTCTAACTTATAACCATTTATAGTTTACATGGATTTCAAACAGCCATCTTTATTATACACTAAATAGAAAAAGAAATACCTCTCGTGGAGTGGGGGGTGGGGCTATCCACACCACACCGATTTGTTATAATACATGGACGGGCTTAATTGTACAGTAACAACAATATTTACATTGAATCTGACTTGCTGTAACTTTAATAAGACGCAATACTAACTGGTAACTGGGATAATCGAATCTATTAATATTTTACATACAAGGAAATTGCGGAAACCACCGAAGAATACCGATTTCAAGACGCGGAAATGAATTAAAGCGAGAGAGAGAGAGAGGGGAGAGAGAGAGAGAGAGAGAGAGAGAGATGGGGTTTAATGTCCACTAGACACAAACTAGGCCATTTCAGGACTAACACATGGTTCAATTTTCTATGTCAATAATTAGCAGTGGGAGGAAACCGGAGGACGCGGAAAAACCCCACGAGGCTAGACAGGCGACCCTACTCCTTGTCATGTACAACCGGGGAATCGAAACCCCGCCAGTTGACTCAATGACAGACCGTGTGATACAGCGCGTGCACGTGCTGACCATTCGCCCCCCCCCCCCTCCATGAATTAAAGCAGGTGCCTTGCGGGCGGTAAGAACCAGTTAGATCTATTTCCTAAGGCCAACTTCAAGTTTAGTCAAAGGTCACGAGATGTCAACGGGGTTAGCGCTAGTCCCAACCCCAACCCTAACCCTGGACCTAGCCCAAACGCTTCCCCTAACCCTAACCTACAATTTCGCCAATAATCACGTGCCCTTTATTTACATCTCAGCGATCTTGACGAAATCTTGAGTTGGCCTTAAGAATTAGATCTAGTCGGTACCTGTAACAGACAACGTAGTGGGTGGTACAATAACATCAGGACCAAACGTTGTAATAAAGACGATCACACGCCATGCAGTGTACTACCAAGGAATTTTTGTCCGTACAGTTACAATCCCAACTTTCAAGGAATTTTTCGCCAAGGTTTACACGGGACCTCGGTTTTTGGTGCCATCCGAAGGACTGGACGCTGTTCCTTTATCAGGTCTTGTACCAAAGGAGAAACCACTCTGGAAAATCTCGAAAGGTAATTAACTTCCAAGTCAACCAAGGAAACGAACCTTAGATCCCACTGTTAGTGGTCTGCAACGTCGTCCTCGCCGAGTCATAAAGTATAAATTCGAAATAGACCGTATCCAGTGTCCGGCCAAATTTCTCTCGTAACACATGATATTGCGTATATGCCCTGACTTCAATAGCCCGGTCGTAGCAGAACAGTAGGACGTTAAAACCCATTTTATTTCATTTCACACAATGCCAACGTAGATACAACAACTAAAATTGTTCATGTAAACCGATTCTTGGAAATGTCTATCACGTACACAAGACCATACTCAACTTTCCGGTAGTAATTGTTTAAGGAGAATGGGATGCCGAGTGGTAATCAGTCCATCGTTGTCGGTGTATTCGGGGTCAAAGGCATATTGCGGTCATTACGTATACCCTGAAGCGAATACGCGGCCACTTCATAGTCGCTATCATCCAGAAAAATATTCCACGAATATTAGTCTGGATGCGTTGTCAACATTTGAGAATAATAGGTCATTGGTAGGGTGCCCCGTGCAGCGACAATTATAGGTTATTGGTAGGGTGCCCTGAGAAGCGAAAATTACCACGAATGTTTTAGGATAATAATACGTAGCAACAATATAAATCCAAGTCATATCAGCGTGTTTTGTATTCGTATTTCGTATATATATTGACAAGGGGCAACAGATTTATGATTTAATTTAAAAATGACAAATGACACTATTCTGTAAACGACGATAACTCCCCTCAGAATGAAGTAATTTGAATGAAATTTTCAACATATTCCCTTTTCATTAGCTATTTTTTTTTTTAAGCTATTATAGAGAGAACTATCAGCTCTTTATCTAAATATTACGTAATGCATGCATATTTCACTTTCCCCGACTGATCACCATGCCATGCTATATTAATAATACAAGATACCTTTTACACCATCATCTGTTATGCATTAATGAATATATCTGAATTTTAATAATTCAGAGACGACAAAGTGAAAGCGATTGTAATTGATACTCCATTAAACCAAGTAAATAAAGGAACAAGCAATTCGATACATCCGTCGTCTTCCAATAATTTGTTTTTATATATAAAATAGAAATGCATAACCTTCGGTCACGGTAAATACCCCAGTAGTCAGCTAATATTCTCGGTTTCTGTGATTTACCATGTAACAAATACTAGTATGTATTTAATTTTATTATTCTTTGGGTAAAGGGGGGGGGGGGTGCCCCGATTGGTTAACGCGTGCACTTTAGATCATAAGTTCTGTCATTGTATCAAGTGACGTGATTTCGATTCCCCACTTGTACGTGACAAGGAATAGGTTCACCGTCTACCCTCGTGGCTTTTCTACTGGCCCACTGGTCTCCTCCCAAAGCTAACGACATTATTTGCAAGCGAATAAATGACCAACTTATAATAATTGGCTTTGATTGTGTATTCCATAGAAAAGGTCCAACATATGAAAAGGCACGTTTTCCAAGTTGTAAGTGAATATTTGGAGATTTTAGAAGATGTATTGTCTGAGAACTGAGTTTTCTACTGGTAGTGCGGGTCTTTACAATATATTTTTTTTTATATATATATATATATAAGATGTGGATTAATCATTTAATTTTATTTTCTTTGGGTATGGTGGCGGCCGTGGTGTTGTCGGTTGCGCTGGTGTTAGTGGTTGTAGTTGTAGTGCAAGAGTGGGGTATGGGGTGTCAATGTTATATGAACTATATTCGTTGATTTTTGTCTTGGTGGCGAGCAATACTTTCCATTTCTTGTGTTTATTACATTAAAACATATATTTCTTTGAGTTAAAGGTAAATTAAATGCGATTTAACGTCCGAAAGGGCTATGGAAGACAGACATACGGCATATTGTGTCCTATAGATGATGGAAATTGTGCCCGAGACCAACGTTAATCTAACTGCCAAGGATTCTTTTACGTCTCATCCGAAAGAGTTTACGTTTCGCAAGGCCCTATGTCCTGTATCAGTGGCAAGGGGGAGCCACGCCGGTGGATTTCGGTGGATTTTCAGTATGATGTACAGGGAAAGGTCATCTACACCAAAAAAGCCTTCTAAAGGAATTTTTGGGGGGTTTGTCAGTATTTTGACTAGACTAATACTCAAATAGACTATCGCGAGACTAAATTCACGCATATTACTGTACAGAAATCTTCCATGTGAGCAATTGCGGGACATTTTGGCTGGTTTTCAGGACGCGGGGCTTGGACAAATTTTGTGGGACTGCCCCGCGAAATACGGGACAGGTGGTCACCCGATTCATGTATCATGACTCAATTTGATATTTGACCCCGAAACCCCAGCGGTAGACTGTACTTGATTATCACTCTGCATATTATTCTACGTAAAAAATTACTATAGAACAGTTGGGTCTGGTTGTGCCCTTTTGATGGACAGCCCTCTCCTCTGCCAACTGAGACACAAGATTGGTAGAAATTGGTTTCAGAGGATTGATAGATAATTACAAGTAGTGAATTTGTGTATCTCTAAATTTACTTCATTCAACCCAAATAAATTTGTGGGAAAAGTTATAGAACCGGACAAGAGTTAACGTTATCATAAATTTACTGTGGTCTGAACACCCTATTGTAGAGTGTAGTTACTTCCCTTGAAAGCTACCCACTTTTCATTCGATCTGCCAGGCGGTTTCCAGACAACTCGACGACCCAAGTCTTGCCTACAATTGGTCAATTTAGAAAAAAAAAAAAAAAAAAAAAAGTAGGATCATTATGTTGTGCTGTTTTTTTTTCATATATATATATATATATATATACTTTTAAACGAACCAAAATTCGGGCCTTTACGACCTTAATCGGTTCACTTCGATATAATAATAAAACGAAGATATCCGAATGGTATGACAACTTCCGGTGTAAACAACAATGGCTGCCTCCAGCGAAGTCAACATGAAGTCTGAAGATGATCTTAATGTTTTGCAAGAAATAACACGGGAATTTCTGTTAAAAAATGATGTGCAACACAGAAAAGTTTCACTTGGTCGAAGAATTCGTGATTTGAAAGATGGCGATGTTGTTCTTCCACGAGGATGTTGCCCAGAAGTTTCAGAACAGGTTACCATTAGTATTTCACATCATAAACTTTAATTAAATGATCATTAGCCACGTCATTATGGAAACGTTGTCGTTGATTGTCCACAAAAATAAATGCCCATCCTGTATATTACATATTGTATCATCAAACATCTTCCCAACAAAAAAGTATCCGTACAATCTGTAGGTGAAACACACAGAAGATTTTAATTTCTGAGAGATTTTTATTTAGGGTGAGGCCGAGGGTCATAAAAATAAAAGTAAGGGAGGGGGGATGGCCGAATGGTTAGCACTTGCGCATTAAATCATAAAGTCTGTCATTGGGTCTTCCGGTCTCCTTCCACTGCTACAGACCCAATGCGCAAGTGAATTATTGAAATAAAATTGAACCATATGTTCTAACTCATTGTCGACATGTCTAAATGTCATCTGTTTATTGATTCCCACGAAATAAACTCCAGTATTATTTTGATAATTTCCACTCCCCTGGTCGACTGTGTATGCTTTATATCATAAGGTCTGTCATTGAAATGAAATGAAATGAGGTTTAACTTCCTACTGTTTTGCTCCAAACTGGGCTAATGAAGACAGGCATACGCCATACAGTGTGCTATGAGGGAAATTTTGCTCGGACAGCGGCACTACAGCCTACTCTTATATCGAATTCCAAATGCCAAGGGATCTTTAATGTGCACGCCAATGTGTACACGGGACCTCGGTTTTTCGTACCATCCGAACGACTAGACAGCTTTCCTTGTCAGCGCCTCCATCCTGCATCACTGACAAGGGAGAACCATGCCGGAAAATCTGGATGAACTTTCTTGGCCAATGCAGGTATCGAACACCCGACCTCCAGGCTAGCGAGCCAGCGTCTTACCCACTTAGCCACGTGATCCCCAAGGTGTGTCATTGAATCACATGACATAGTTTGATCCCAAGCTTCAATGTTACAAGGAGTAGGGTCATCCCCGTGTTCACATTGGCATGTACATTAAAGCTCTCTTGGTGGTTGGACTTTGATATTAGAGTAGGTCGTAGTGCCGCTGTTCGGGCAAAATTTCCCTCATAGCACACTGTATGGTGTATTGCCATCTTCATTAGCCCAGTCGGAGCAGAACAGTAGGACGTTAAACCCCATTTCATTCATCGTAAGAGTTATTTATTATAAGGGGGATTGAATGCCTAATGGTTAGCAGTTCGCGTTGTATCATGACTTAAGGTCTGTCATTGAGTCAACTGGCGTAGTTTGACTCCCCAGTTGTAGGGTCACCTGTCCAGCCTTATGGGTTTTCTCCAGGTCCCCCGGTTTCCTCAAGCGATTTATTGAAATAAAACTGAACCATATGTTATGTTAGTCCCGAAATGACCTGGTTTGTGTAATGTAATATTTCTTATTTATAGATAATAAAAGACCTAGAGACGGAAATAAAAGAAAAAACATCGGAGCGTCTTTTACCAATCAAACGCTTAGCGAGTGATATATATAATTCTGTTGTATTTTACGCTGATCGACCACGATCATTCTGTAATGTGATAAAAGAAACATTAATAAAGGGAGATAACTATGGTTTATCTCAAATCAAATCTGACCAAAAGACTGTTGTTATAAAGACTCTGTGTTGCCTTGACGACGATGATTATGAACCAGAGACAAACCCTGAATTGATAAGAAATATTGTTTTACTCCAACAACTAGTGAAATTATTACAAGCTAGTGGGTAAGTAGATGAAATAAAATAAAATTAAATGGGGTTTAACATCCTACTGTTCTGCACCCTCTGGGGGGTTGGATGACTGAATGGTTAGCGTGCGCGCTGTATCAAAAAGTCTGTCATTGAGTCAACTGGCGTGGTTTCGAATCCCCGGTTGTACGTGACAAGTAGTAGGGTCACCTGTCCAACCTCGTGGGTTTTCTCCGGGTCCTCCGGTTTCCTCCCACTGCTAAAGACCCCTACGCGCAAGCGAATTATTGAAATAAAATTAAACCATATGTTAGTCCCGAAATGACGTAGTTTGTGTCAAGTGGGTGTTAAACCCCATTTCTTTCTCTCTCTCTCTCTCTCTGCACCCACTGGGCTAATGAAGAAAGTTCATTTTGCCCGCATAGCAACACTACAGTCTACTCTTTTATCGAAATTCCAGCAGGTACCAAGGGTTCTTTTACATGACACCAATGTGGAGGAAGGATCTCGGTTTTCCATCCCATCCGAACGACTATATGTCGTCCCTTGCCAGGTCTGTGGTCTGCATCTCTGATTAGGGGAAATCATGCCAGAAAATTCTGAAGAACTTTCTTGGCAAACTCCGGGATAGAACAGGTTACATGGAAGTGGATATGTAATAATCAAATTTCTGCAATTTTGTGAGAATTTCTGATGTTGGTCAATTGAGACCGAAACATTGTACTGTTAAAGACCACTTACATTTATCTACAATGTATTTTATTTTTTTCAGTTCAGAGGAATTGCTTGTATTTCTTGAATTCAAGGAATCCACTAATGATTCCACTTCAGACTATCCGCTTGTTGTTTTTATATTTTTTTCTTGAGTTCAAGGGATCCGCTTGTTTTTCTTGAATTCAGGAGATCTACTTGATTTTCTTGAGTTTGGGTTATCACTCACTTCTACATGTATGTTCTACTTTATTCGGGAGCAACTAGATCCACAGAAAACAGACTTAATGCAGATATCTTCCATGTGTCAGACTACATGAGTATGATTTAAGTAGTTTTTCTCCAGTTAACGGTGTCATGGACTTCTGGATTCTTGAAATTACAATGTACTTTCTAAAAAAAAGATGTACAAGTTCAGTTCTCTGTTAATCAGGGGATTATTGCGGATTATTGTTGGGAGAAACCTTACAGATTATTGTTGGGAGAAACCTTTTAGATTTCTGTTGGCAGAAACCTTTTAGATTGTTATTGACAGAAACCTTTTAGATTTTTGTTGGCAGAAACCTTACAGATTGTTGCAAAAAAACTGACCTGAGATTGAGAAGACTAGTCAGAGATTGTCAGAACTTTAGGGGAACAACTTGGGGGCTAATAAGCAAAATATGGTTACCTTATCTGAAATATTGGTTGGAATGAGAATTGGGTCAGGCCAGTCATGGGGTCATTTAAAACGTAACTAAACCTTTTCAGAAAAATGATCGCTGATATGCCGCTACCCAGGTAAAATTCTTCATCATGTATTATACGAGGAAAATTGAATAATAATTATACATGTGTTTATTTCTTACAGGTATCAAGTTATATCAAATATATCTGAACCTCCTGATTGCGTTAAATCTCTTTATCGTATATTTGACCTGGATGTTACACAGATCGATACAAACTCTTGTTTATCCAGACTCACTCACTGTGAAGAGACATTGACTCAGTGTAAATATCGTGAAGAAATTAAACATATATTGATAAATCCTGATAGGAGTCTGGATGATCGTGATAAAAGACTACCTGTGATATTGAACGTTAGAAATTTTATCCAGGATAAGAAATTGCCCGTGGGGAAGTCCGGCTACGATAAAAATCTATGTATTGTTAATGGTGAGAATTTGAACACTTTTAGTGAAATGAAATGAGGTTTATTGTTCTACTGTTCTGCGCCGACTGGGCTATTCAAAAGGGACATACATCTGACTTTGTGCTTTTGGAGAACTTTTGTCTAAACAGCAGCGTTATGGCCTACTCTTATATTGAATTCCAACTGCCAAAGGATCTTTTACATGCATGTCAATGAGTACACAGGACCTCAGTTTTTCATCCCATCCAAAGGACTACACATTGTTCTTTTACAGACAGGAGCTAACTTGGCTAAGTGAGTAAAACACAGGATCACTTGTCTAGAGGTTGCAGGTTTGCTCCCAGTGTTGGCTGAAGAAATTCTTCAAGATTTTCCGGGATAGCTATCTGAAAAATCAAGGTCCTGTGTGCACATTAGAGTGCACGTAAAAGATCCCTTAACAGTTGGAATTCGATATACATGTAAGGTAGACCTGGCTAGATTTTCCTCATAACACACTGTATGGCGGATGCCTGTCGTCATTAGTCCAATTGGAGCAGGAAAGTAGGACGTTAAACCCCATTTCATTTCATTTTCTTCACCGAAGAAAATTTTTGCCCAATCCAGGTTAGCGAACCACCGTGGCTCCTAACCCTTTAGTGCTTGATACAAGTCAAGATTGACTACACCTGTATATTTGGCTTTGAGATCAGTGTTCCGTCGTAGTCTTCATCCGATTCTGCTAAAAGATCTTTTACATACATGCCAATCCAACGTGTACACAGGACCTCGGCTTTGTCGTCCCATCTGCACCACTGACAAGGGGGAAATCAAACTAAGAAGTCTGGTTGTTGAACCCAGGAGGTCCTTACAGCCATAAATTGCTTGAAGTAAGCTGATAGCTACAATGATGCCATGTTGACTGACCGGTCAGTGAATTCTCCAACAGGCCAATTTTACTGTCAGTCAGTCTAGAGTATTCAACACTGGTAAATCTGGCTGTCAGTTTAGAATACTCGACACTGGTAAATTTGACTGTCAGTTTTAGAGTACTCAATACTGGTAAATTTTGACTGTCAGTCTAGAGTACTTGACAATGGTGAATCTGACTGTCAGTCAGTCTAGAGTACTTGGCATTTGTAAATCTGACTCTCTGGCAGCTTAGAGTACTCGGCACTGATAAATCTGTCAGTCAGTCTAGAGTACTCAACACTGGTAAATCTGACTGTCAGTCTAGAGTATGTGACACTGAAAAATCTGTCTGTTAGTCAGTCTAGAGTACTTGACACTGGTAAATCTGACTGTCAGTCAACCGATCTTTTTATTTTTCCATGTAGTGATAACAGAAGATGGTGGATCTGTGGAAGTTAAGGAGGCGTGTTATTTATTACAGTGTTTATCAGCCGTCATGTCAAATCAGCAGACGCTACACTGTCTCCATCTTGTTTCACAACGACAAGCTTTTCTACGACAACAGATAGATTTATTATATCAGATAATATCAGACGTAACCAATCAAACACATTGTATTAAACAGGTGGGTTGTGGGACAAATAACGTAAAGACCATTTCTTTATAGGGGTGGGGGGATGGCCGAATGGTTAGCCATGCGCGTTGTATCATAACGTCTGTCCATTGAGTCAACTGGCGTGGTTTTGATTCCCCAGTTGTACTTGACAAGGAGTAGGGTCGCCTGTCCAACCCTTATGGTTTTCTCCAGGTCCTCAGGTTTTCCTCCCACTGCTAAAGACCCCTACAACTATTGAATAAAATTAAAAATTATGTTAGTCCCGAAATGACCTTATTTGTGTCGAGTGGAATTTAAACCCCATGTCTCCCTCTCTCTCTCCCATTTCTTTCTTGGGCGGGCTAGAGAGATCATAACGTCTGGCATTGAGTCTAGTGGTAGCGAACTGATCCCAACTTAGCATGTGACAAGTTTGCACGTATGGGAAAAACCTGTGACAGTTGGAATTTAAAGGAGCTAAATTCCTAACATTTGGGACCTAGAAATTGATATAAATGGGTCGCACTGCATATAATAATGTAACATAAGTGTATATAAACTGATTTACATTCAATCGTTTCTGTTTTTACTTTAATTTTAAATCAATTATGTTTGACGAAATACGCCAGAAGTCTCAATCGAATGGTAATCTCTAATGTCTGGTTATTCCAGTCTACACCGATGGTATTTGTATTTATTGCACATGCTCTTCAGATAAGAATATGGCGTCACAGTTTGACATGACTTGTGAAATATGTCAAGCCTGTTCTTCAGGTCCCTTGTTACAAATCGCACTGAAACGCATTATGGTAAACGATTCGTGTACCAATGGTAAAATGTTTATTTTGTCTTAAATATTGGATATCAGAAGCCTACCTTCTCCCGGTAAGATCACAACATCAATGTTGATTTGAATTGACAAATAATTTGTGTTTTCAATGTCAAAGATTTTGGATGTTATTGAGTTAAGACTAATTAGCTACTTTAAGATAAGAGTAAACCATAATACCCGCTGCCTTGGCAAAATTTCCCTAATAACACACTGCATGGTATATGCCTGTCTTCATTAGGGCTGATGGAGTAGAAAATTGGGGTGTCAAACACTATTTCATTTCATTGTTTTACCTTTCCTTGGGTTAGTAAATAGATTTGATGTTTTTATTTCTAGAGTCATTTTATATATGGTGATGTAACGAGTAGATCATTGGGACCTGATAATCAAACATTACAGCCTTCGTTATCCAGTCAACAACTATACAGGTAATTAATTCACTAAGGTCCAGTCATTTCCTCCTGACTGTCTGGAGTGTTCAGAATCGTGACATGTAATCAAACATTTCAAACATTGATCGAAATAGTACCATATTCGGTTTATGCACATCTTGTCACCAGAAATGACACAATTTCTAGGAACATTCCATCAAGTATCCCAAAAATCTATAATATATATAAGGGAAGTAACTCTATTTAATGACATAAATTTATTTATATTTATATTCAAGCCTACGATATGAACAGATGGTCGAATCTACAATGATGAAGTACGGTGAGCAGGTGACCAGCGATAGGTGGAAGGATACATTAAAATCATTAACAGTAGCTGGTTTACGCTTTGAAATGTTGTCTACTACAGCCAGAAATATAGTACGCTTTTTATATTAAGTAGAAAATTATATTATAAAATAGGGCAATCTTGGTAACAGTAAATTCGAAATTCGTAAAATTGACACATGAAAAACAAAAAAGTAACATGGTGACATCTTTTTCCCCATGAATATCCAGGTATTTAATTTTTTGGAATATGTTAGTAATTTCAAATGCTTTGAAATATTGTATTCATGTTGGTTTCCATATATTTTGAACTATTCGCTATTTGCTCTCTATGTGATGAACTGTTGATATAAGAGTAGGTCGTATTCCTGCTGTTCGGGCAAAATTTCCCTCGTGGCACTCTGCATGGTGTATGCCATCTTCATTAGCCCAGTAGGTGCAGAACAGTACGACATTAAACCCCATTTCATTCATATGGGTAGTAACATTTCCTTTGAAGATAGTGGGGTTGGACGGCTGAATAGTTAGCATGTGCACGCTGTATCATAAGGTCTGTCATTGAGTCAACTGGCGTGGTTTCGATTCCCTGGTTGTATGTGACAAGGAGCAGGGTCGCCTGTCCAACCTTGTGGGTTTTCTCTGAGTTCTGAGTTCTCCGGTTTCCTCCCACTGCTAAAGACCCCTACGGGCAAGCGAATTATTGAAATAAAATTGAACCATGTTAGTCCCGAAATGACCTAGTGTGTGTCGAATGGACGTTAAATAAACCCCATTTCTCTCTCTCTCTCTGAAGATGTATCTGTATCATAAATCTGTTTATTTGAAGGTTAAATTAGATTTACAAGAGAACAAAGATGGCCAGGGATTGGACAACAGAGCAGGATCATTTGTTATGTATAATTGTGCCCGATTGGCTACGTTATTTAAACATTATAACGATGGTGTTGAAAAAGGTATTAAATTAATTTTTGTTATTGAAGATTAGATAAAGAGTTGGCATTTCTCACTATAAAATACATAGTCTTGATTATCCATTTCTTGATTTAATCATGAATGAGCGTAGAGCCGCAGATCGGATCCTAATCCAGTAAATATGGAAGGCTAGCGATGGCATCGAGAGTTGATTACGGTTTAGATAAGTAAATTAGTGTCTAATTATTAATTTATATGACATGTTTAAGGCCTAAAGAAAGACTTGCAATAGGCAGAGTTAGCTCTTGCATAATGTATGTTTAAACTATTTTATTTATTGTTTTTATGCTCGTGGCAGAGTCCTGTGTTTACCATCAGAGAATGAAACAGGTTTAACGTCACAGTTGTTTTGCACCGACCTGGCTAATGAAGACGGACATACACCTTGACATCGACGGCATGACCTATTTTTATTTCGATTCTGAGCTGTCATTTGACCTTTAACATGCTCCGTGCAGGGCTAATACAGACGTATGCTATGCACTGCAGCCTACTCTTATTTAAAATTCCAAATGGCAAGGGTTATTTTACATGCACGCCAAATAATTTTTAGCTAGGGGTTTTATATTTATGTGTTAATTATAAAGGGATTTATATATTCATGTGTTATAGGGATTTATATATTCATGTGTTATAGGGATTTATATATTCATGTGTTATAGGGGTTTAAATATTCAAGTGTTATAGGGGTTAATATATTCATGTGTTATAGGGGTTTAAATATTCATGTGTTATAGGGGTTTATATATTCATGTGTTATAGGGGTTTAAATATTCATGTGTTATAGGGGTTTATATATTCATGTGTTCGAGGGTTTTATATATTCATGTGTTATAGGGGTTTATATATTCATGTATTATAGGGGTTTATATATTCATGTGTTATAGGGTTTTATATATTCATGTGTTATAGGGATTTATATATTCATGTGTTCGAGGGTTTTATATATTCATGTGTTATAGGGGTTTAAATATTCATGTGTTATAGGGGTTTATATATTCATGTGTTATAGGGGTTTATATATTCATGTGTTATAGGGGTTTATATATTCATGTGTTATAGGGTTTATATATTCCTGTGTTATACTGGTTTATATATTTGTTTTGTAGGGTTTTATCCCAGTCTGCCTGATGTAGATGAAGTGAAGTTTGAATCATTACGGGAGGAGGTAAGGGAATAATATATGTTCATCAGTAGATTCAGTTAACCAGTCCTAAAACTAAAAGCCCAGTCTGCGGTTTGACATTTCACTTACACACTTTAACCTCATTGAATATGATTTGTACTTTTGAGTATTTGTTTTGTTTCAGAGTATATGACTTGTACTCTGAGTATTTGTTTTGTTTCAGAGTATATCTGTACTCTGTGTATTTGTTTTATTTTAGAGTATATGACTTGGACTCTGTGTATTTGGTTTTTTTTAGAGTATATGACTTGAACTCTGTGTATTTGTTTTGTTTCAGAGTATATGATTTGTACTCCGTGTATTTGTTTTGTTTTAGAGTATATGACTTGTACTCCATGTGTTTGTTTTAGAATATATTATTTGTACTCATGTGTATTTGCAGGAGGAATGGACTTTATTATATAACTATATATATATTTATCCTGAAATGGTGAAATCATGCGTAGAAAATCTCGGACCATCGTCATCGGATATCAACGCTAAAATACACACACATAAGGTACAGCAAATTGTCTTCTATATGAATAAAACCAATGATGTCTGTTTGTGTTCGCCCATCATGCTTGTCGCAGCCATCCATCCCCACATAATGTGGTTAGATCTATTTGTTAAGGCCAACTTCAAGTTTGGTCAAAGGTCACTTGATGTAAACATTACACTTTAATCTGTGTGGTGTGTTAATGTAGTGCTCATTGCTAGGAAAGATTTTCAAATTCCATTAACTTTGTGGAGTATTAAAGTTGTTCAAATTCGATTACCTTTTAAACTCTGTGGAGTGTTGGCTGGCTGAATAGTTTAACGCATGCTCTTTAGATCACAAGGTCAATCTTTGAGTCAAGCCTCGACTGTCCAACATCGTGGATTTTCTCCCAGTCCAGTTTCCTCCCACAGCTAAAGTGCTAAAGACCCCTACGTGCAAACGAATTATTGAAATGAAATTAAACGATATGTTAGTCCCGAAATGACCTAGTCGAGTGTACGTTCAACCTCTGTGATATTTAAAGAGGAGTATCAGATTATTATATATCTTTATTTTATATTTTCTAGGTTGCTAATTTCCTGATATCATTGAGTCGTAGTTTAAGTTCCTACTATAGTAGAATTCATATACTAGGTGTAAGTTGATTCTTAAATATAAATACTCTAAAGGCCAAACTAATTTGTTTTTATACGCCCACATTGAAATGTGGGCACATATTGTCGTCGCTCCGTCTGTCGGTCCGTTGGAGTGGGAGTACAATCCCCTCCCACCCTCTTTAGTTTGAGTTTACTTTTCTATCCTACAAGCTTGGTGAAAACTCATGATGAGTTTGAAACACAACCATAATTTTGGGTAAAACCCACAATGAGTTTGAAGCAGGACCATCATTTTTGGGAAGTCCCACAATGACTTTGAAGCTACCATATATTGAGGGGAAAACCCACATTGATATTTGGGGAAAACATAAGATGGGTTTTTGAAGCATTACCGTCATTTTGTGGAAAACTCACAATGAGGTGGAAATATTGCCATCATATTATGGGAAAACCCACAATGAGGTGGAGGTATTGCCATCATATTGTGGGAAAACCCACAATGAGGTGGAAGTACTACCATTATATTGTGGGAAAACCCACAATGAGATGGAAGCATTACCATCATTTTTTTGACAAAATCCATAATCAGTTTGAAGTACTACCATAATTCCCAGGAATGTCCATATTGAATTTGAAACACTACCATGCTAAAGATAATATTATGAAAATATTTGTGTACATTTTGTATATTTCCAGGATTGTCAGCCTCATCTACTGGCTATTATGTTTCCTAGACTATATTTAATGAAAGCAGCTCACCAAGTACTACAGAATGGTCTGTTATTGATGGGAATAACCCCTCCTACACAGTTATAACATACTGTACACTCCTACTCAGTTATAACAGACATTGTACAGAATGGTCTGCTATTGATGGGATTAACTCCACCTACACAGTTATAACAGATACTGTACACTCCTACACAGTTATAACAGACATTGTACAGAATGGTCTGCTATTGATGGGAATAACCCCTCCTACACAGTTATAACAGATACTGTACACTCCTACACAGTTATAACAGACATTGTACAGAATGGTCTGCTATTGATGGGAATAACCCCTCCTACACAGTTATAACATACTGTACACTCCTACACAGTTATAACAGACATTGTACAGAATGGTCTGCTATTGATGGGAATAACTCCACCTACACAGTTATAACAGATACTGTACACTCCTACACAGTTATAACAGACATTGTACAGAATGGTCTGCTATTGATGGGAATAACCCCACCTACACAGTTATAACAGATACTGTACAGTCCTACATAATTATAATAAACAGTGTAATTTATATAGTTTATTGTACAGGCCTACAAAATTATGATAAACATTGTACAGTACTACAAGAAATGAAATGAAATGGGGTTTAACATCCTACTATTCTGCTCCTACTGGGCTAATGAAGAAGCGCATACGCCATGACCGAATGGTTAGCATGTACGCGCTGTATCAAAAGGCCTGTCATTGAGTCAACTGGCGTGGTTTTGAATCCCCGGTTGTACATGACAAGGAGTAGGGTCGCCTGTTCAACCTCGTGGGTTTTCTCCGGGTCCCCCGGTTTCCTCCCACTGCTAAAGACCCATATGCGCAAGCGAATTGTTAAAATAAAATTAAAACCATATATATGTTAGTCCCGAAATGACCTGTGTCGAGTAGACATTAAACCCCATTTCTCTCTCTCTCTCTCTCTCTCACTCTCTCTCTCTCACGCACCCTCTCTCACGCACCATACAGTTTTCTATGAGGCAAATATTGCCCTGGCAGTGGAACTACGGCCAACTCTTATATTGAATTCTAACTGCCAAGGGATCTTTTACATGCATGCCAATGTATACATGGGACTTTGGTTTTTCGTCCCATCTGAATGACTAGACAGTTGCGCATGTCGGAAAATCTGGATGAACTGCAGTCCTAAATAATTATAATAAACAGTGTACATAATTTATATAATTTGTTGAAATATTTTATATGAAATTAAAAAACAGGTGATTATGGAATATCAAATCTTTTAAAATCTAAAATGTTAATATATATTTATATAAATTTATCATGATTCATTGCATTGAGAAATTGAAATTATTTAAAAGAGTAAACAACTCTTGTGTTAAGTTCAATATAAGTGGTCTCAGACTAGCAATTCTCTCCATATTGACTTGGATGTTAAAGGAGCTAAGTAGCTAATATTTGAGATCTAGAAATTGACACAAATGGTTGCAACTCATATAATAATGTAATACGCCAGAAGTCTCATTCGAATGGCAATCTCTAGCGTCTGGTTATTCCAGTCTACACCGATAGTATTTATTGCACATGTTCTCCAGATAAGAATATTCCGTAACCCTTTCACATGTCTTTTGGAATATGTGTAGCCTGTTATTCGAGTCCCTTAATACAAACGGCACTGAAACGCATTATGGTACACTATTCGTGTATCAATGGTAAAATGTTTATTTTGTCTTAAATATTGGATATCAGAAGCCCACCTTTTCCCCGGTAAGATTACAACATCAATGTTTATTTAAATTGACAAATAATTCGTGTTTTCAATGTCGACGACTTTGGCTGATATTGAGTTAGAGACTTAGCTACTTTAAATCCATGACATTTCTTGGCCAATAACATTGTATTTAGCATTCCGATGATCTTAATCTTGATAACCACTAGTCGATGTTCCAGAACCTGAACCGGTAGGCCAACGCCACCTAGCCTATGTTAGTCCTCAGTCCAGGCTACATCTATACACCAAATTTCAGCCTCGGGACAGCTCAAGTGTAGCCCCAACCCTGAACAGACAGGCAGACAAACAAACGACAATCACAAATTGTAGTATATATACCCAGTTCAAACACTCTTCTTCGATTCTAAAACAATATTTGCCATGTCTACTGATTATTGTAATAATAATAAAAATACAGTTTAAACATACATTATGCAAGAGCTAAATTGCCTACTGCAGATCTTTCTTTAGGCCTGAAATGTTATCTAAATTATTAATTAGACATTAATTAACTTATCAAGACCATAATCAACTCCTGATGCCATCTTATATGTCCGATTTCATTGGATTTGAATCCGATCTGCTGTTCATAGCTTCTTGATGATTTAAACACAAAACTGGATAATCAAGAAATTGTTGATTATCCTGACAGCGCACAGTCGAGGCTACAGCGCTTTAAAAATAAGGTTTTCTCTAGCTTAAGAGTGAAGTAATTTGACTGACATTTTCAGCATACCCCGTTTACCTTATTTAGTTTTCAAATGTTACGGTGAGAACTGCCAGCTCTTATATATAATTTTCCATAATTACAATGTTGAGGGGGGGTAGGTGGTCGAATGGTTAGCACGTGCGCGTTGTATCTTAAAATCTGTCATTGATTACCCGGTTGTACGTGACAAGGAGTAGGATCGCCTGTTCAATCTCGTCGGTTTTCTCCGGGTCAACCGGTTTCCTCCCACTGCTAAAGACCCCTACGCGCAAGCGAATTATTGAAATAAAAGTGAACCATATGTTGGTCCCGAAATGAACTAGTTTGTGTTGAGTGGACACTAACCCCCCCCCTCTCTCTCTCTCTCTCTCTCTCTCTCTCTCTTTAATACTAATAATGATAGTATATATAATGTATATAGATGTATATTTTTTGATCTATGAGGGTCACATTTTATGGGCCTTAGGTCACTTTTTATGGGCCTGATTTCAGCTAAATCTTTTTTACCATAGTAAATAGGGCTCTGAACATAAAATTCCCGTGACATCCTTTTTGCTTTGTACTCAAATAACATATTAAGAACCTAATTATAATTCTATAAGCCACTGATAAGCTACAGACACTGTGGGACCATCAGAAAGACATACTAGTTATTGCAAACCGATCAGCAGAAAATATTCTCTTGGCTACTTCCATCACAGAAAGGGATAACATCGGACGAGTTAATTAGCTCTCAATTAGTAACATTGTTTCATCTGCAGATTAAATTCTAAAACAGTTTTATAAAGAAAGAAAATGTTGGAAGTATACTCGCATAGATAAATATTCAGTGGAGAAGGCGCAGGCGCACTAACCAGGTAGTCCATGGTGTTGTCCGAGGAAGTACCTCCGGATCCGATTTTCCAACTTGCTATTGCTCTGTGTACGGTTATAACTGCCTTTTATACACCAACATGGAAATGTCGTATATTGCCGTCGCCCCCGTCCGTCCGTCCGTCCGTCCGTCGTCCACAATTTCTTGTCAACACTCTACAGACTACATGCATCATCTGATTGTTTCGAAATTGATGTATATTAGTTACACTAGTGAGATGAACAAGTCTGGTTAATTTTAATAATTTCCGTTAATTTCGTCTGGAGTTATGGTCCTTAATTCACTTTGTTTAACCTTGTGAACCCACCAACGACAAAAGTTACCATCCAATCGGTAGGAAATTTGAATGCGTTATTTGAATTCGTTACACGAAAATGCCTGTTAAATTTCAACAATCTTTGTACATTACTTCCAGAATTAAGGCCCTTGTTTCAATTTGTAGCATCTTATGGACCCTCAAACCTCGAAAATTATAATCTGATCTGTATGAGATAATCTTGAAAATGCACCTCCACCCTCCCATAACCTACAAAAGATTCAAATATGCAACAACCCTTGTTGACCGTGCGTACGATTTATCTCCCGTGGGCGTATTTTTCGTTGCCTGGCAACCTATCTTCTGTTAAAGTGTTCGCATGCTGTTTTTTTTTTGTAATTGAATATTTTCCATTGATATATTCATACACAATTTGAACTGGACTCTCAATATAAAAATCACTGATTAACTGTCAAGGCGTGTCTGAAAACCTGAGCGTGAAATTTCATTTTACAGTCGTAAAAGATTCTTTATCGTTGAATCAATATCAGTTTGTAAAACTTAAACGAGGTGAAGAAATTTAAAATCCATTTAATAGTATGCCATATCGATTATGTCATCAACGCCGAAGAAATATTTATGAAAGTAGAGCGTACAGAACGTGTGATGACTGGGAAAATAAATTCAGAGAGACGAAGCCCTGATTAGCTTTTGATATCCCAGTATATGACCCCTTCAAATATCTCATTCGCCCTAGAAGACTCCTTTCTTCCCTTATTATATTCCATTCGCCTTATAATAGCCCTTTAAAAATTTTAGAAATCCCTTTCGCACCCTTTTGGTATCCCTTTCATCTCAGAAGTCTCGTTCATCCCCCTTTGGTATCCCTTTCACCCCAAAAGTCCCCTTCATCCCGTTTTCGTATCCCTTTCACCTTAGCAGTCCTTGTCATCTCCTTTTGGTATCCCGTTCACCTCAGAAAATCCTTTCACCCCTTTTTAGTATCCCTTTCACCTTAAATGCCCCGTTCATCCCCTGTTGGTATACCCTTCAACTCAAAAGTCCCTTTCATCACCTTTTGGCACCCCTTTTACCTCAGAAATCCGCTTTCATCCCCTCTAGGTACCCCCTTTACCTCAAAAGCCCCTGTCATCCCCTGTTAGTATCCTTCTTACCTTTAGTATCCCTTTCATCTCAGAATACACTACATCTCATTTCATCGCCCCATTTTCATACGGAAAGAGTCAGTTGTACTGGAGTTAATCGCCGGATACCGGTTCCACAATGTCCCCAGTGACAGTTTCGGACAGGCGCCACATGTTAGCTTAATCCGGACCTGACTATATACCAACAGTAAGACGCTGGCTCGCTAACCAAGGTGACAAGTGTTCGATCGCGGTGTAGTTCGAATTTTCCGGGATGGTTCTCTCTTTGTGCAGTGGTGCCAGACATAAGGAACATTGTCTAGTCGTTCGGCTGGTATAGAAAGCCGAGGGACTAACATATGGTTTAATTTTATTTACATAATTCGCTTGCGCGTAGGGGTCTTTAGAAGTGGGAGGAAACCGGAGGACCCGGAGAAAACCCACGAGGTTGGACAGGCGACCCTACTCCTTGTCACGTACAACCGGGGATTCGAAACCACGCCAGTTGACTCAATGACAGACTTAACCACTAAGCCATCCAACCCCGCCTTGACAATCGAAATATGAGTAGGCCAAGTCTACATCTTTACACGTCAAAACGACGTAGAAAAGTTTCAAGTTTTGTTTCCCGGTTTTCTGTTTGTATTTGAAGATGTGGCGAGTTTCGTGGTTTAGTGGCCATAGTGTCTCGATGAGTTGGGCGCTCGTTTCTCTAACCGAGAGGTACCGAGTTCGATGCCGGTGTTGACCGAGATAGTTCCACTATGTTGGACACAGAGCTTTAAAGGGAACAGCACGTAAAACCATAGTACACTGAATAAAAAAAACAACCACTTTCTGAAATTTAACGAAACGTTGTTCAATTAAAACAGCTAAGAGTTCTGTACACGTTTATAACTTTGGTTTTCCGCCCTTTCCGAAAGTCTAGTCTAATTCTCCATCTTGCACCACTGACAAGGGGAAAACTACCCTGGAAAATTTGGGGCACGTTCTCGATCTTATTCATTGGGCCACTGCAACTTTCTAATTCTTTAGAGATACCGCAACTCTTTGTGTGTTAGAGGGGTTGGGTGGCCTTATGGTTAGCGCGTGCGCGCTGTATCATATAACGTCTGTCATTGAGTCGGTGTGGTGTCGATTCCCGGGTTGTACGTGACGAGGAGTAGGATCGCCTGTCCAACCTCGTGGGTTTTCTCCGGGTCCTCCTGTTTCTTCCCACTGCTAAAGACCCCTACGCGCAAGCGAATTATTGAAATAAAATTGAACCAAGTGTTAGTCCCGAAATTACCTAGTTTGTGTCGAGTGGACGTTGAACCTCATCTCTCTCTCTCTATCTCTCTCTCTCTCTCTCTTTCTCTCTCTCTCTCTCAGACACACACACACACAACTCTTTGTGTGTTATTCCGGTGACCTACATTTGTAACATCACAGTTTGAATAAAACCAGAACAAATTTCAAGCTGTTACGTAACGTAACTAGGTTAATTCTAGCTGTCAGACAAAATCTTTTAACACAAGGTACAGTAATTGTGGCGGCGTTATTACAAGGCGACGAGGATAATGTGTAACTGGTAAGTTGTAACCGATTATAAGCTTAAAAAGGAACTACCCCATCATATTTGGTGTTTTTATAACAAATATAAGTTCCCCGGCAGTTTCGGAATATTTTCCATTTCATGATTATTTATATGGCATGTTAACTTTCGTAGAAATATATCTTTAAAACTGCAAATAATAGGAAAATGACGATTCAATCAAATTTCAATATCGTTTGTGTATAAAATTGACAGTCCTTGTAAAAACTTAATGATGCGTGAAATTCGCAATTTGCAATCCTGTTATGTGATTGTATCAACGATACGCAGAAAGCAATCTTTTAAATTTCAAAATGTGTAAACAAAATTATAATGCAATAAAATTTTTATGTATTTCAATCCAAACTACAATCGAGATTTAAATTGATATTAACTTAGAAAAAGTTGCAAGCTGTTACGTAACCTGTTGAACTTTATTATACACAAACAAGTAGCGATTTTTATATCCATTAAAATTATATAATGGAATATATTGATACCTTTGCATTAAACTTCTAGTAGATGTTTAACGAGCCGAAAGTAAGAAAAAGATGAAGTCCGTACAAGATGGCGTATTGTTATAAATATCGTATAAATGGAGAGGGTGATGGTTGGAATGGCGGAGGTGGCGGATGTGGCGGGTGTGGATCCGGGGGTATGTATGGCATTCTTTTCTGCTCCGGGAAATAGTTTAACCCCTGCGATTTGGGTCATAAGACCTGTCATTGAAAACCTAGTCTAAGTTTGCAAGGACTAAGATCGCCTGTACAACCTCGTGTTTTTGTTCCAGTTCCCCCCCCCCCCACCACCACGCCCCAACCTTGGATTAACCTTGTGGGGGCCCGGGACATACCAACTGTGCGGGGTCCCCATTGTTGTTTGTTCAAATTGTTCGTATTGACCGCGGATCGTACTAGTATGTTGGTACCTACCAGTCCCAGGGCCCCCAATATCCCTTACTGCCCAGGGCCCCAATCCTCGCCCCTCAGTCCAGGTACTGGTTGGCTCCGTCCGGGATAAAATATTAGTATGACCCAGAAATGTGTGGGGGGGGGGCCCTAAATGTGGGGGGGGGGGCGCCACATTTGTCCCACTTTGCCCCCCGCTAGATCCGGTACTGGTCGTTCGGATGGTCTCAGCTGCTATTTGCAACATTCTAATTATCCCCATTTTCATTGGTAGAGAAATAAGAAGTTGTGGCGTGGGGTTCTCGGTGGTCTGATGAATATACAGGCGTGGGTGGAGTATCGAGTAGTTTAATTAATGCACAGGCGTGGGTGGGGTATCAAGCGATATAATGAATACACATGCGTGGGTGGAGTATCGAGGGTTCACTCCCATTTCGACTACGTCCCATTTCGACTACACCCCATTTCGACTACAAATTTTATTACCCTCAAAATCCTGACACCCAAATAATTAACAATGAACTGTTCCACTGATTAAGAGATCTAATTAAGGTAATGATTATTGTTAAAATAGCTTATTCATTATAATATAGCTTGTTTTTTTAACATCAAAGCAAAAATATCAACTCGGAGTACATTTTTTTTTGACAAATATTTTTTATTCTTCAAGTTCACTATCATTCAATCAAAAATTTTGTTATCTTATTAGAATTCTTTTGTTATGTTGTTATAAGCTGTAGTCAAAATGGGACGTAGTCGAAATGGGAGGATACCGTATCGAGTGGTCTAATGAACGCGCCCGCTTGACATATTCATTAATGGAAACATTCATGTCTATTACTAGACGGCAGATATTTTAATTAGAAATATTTAAAAATAGTCACATGGACCTGAAACATGACGACATTAAAAAACTAGCGATAATTACCTGATGTTAAGAAGGGCGTCACGTGTGTTATTATTACTATATACAACTCTAATGTCACTACTGTCATGTGTTTTATTAATGCTACATACAACTCTAATGTCACACTTGTCACGTGTATTATTAACACTACATAGAACTCTAATGTCACACTTGTCACGTGTGTTACTATTATTATATACAACTCTAATGTCACTCCTGTCATGTGTATTATTAATGCCACATACAACTCTAATGTCACCCATGTCACGTGTGCTATTATTACCACATACAACTCTAATATCACCCATGGTACGTGTGTTATTATTATTACACAGAAGTCTAATACGACCCCTGTTATCCTATGCGTATGTTTAGATATTCAACATTTGTTTCTGTGACACATCTTATCTTCTGCGCGTTAGCCATTCTCCAGTTTTGAAACCAAAACAAACCGAGTGTAAAATCAGTTTTATGATTCCCAATCGATAAAAATGTATAAAATCTAATGATTTTTCATTTCAAATATTTTTAATGAACTGATCCGAAAACTAAAGATTTTGTGTGTGTTTATATGGTAAGTAATTAAAAGGCGCTTTATTGTGTTTAGTGCTTGAACTAATTGGAAACATGTGGGTATCACGACTTGCTATTCGTTAATAACGCCCTTTCCACACTTCACTAAATCACGGAGAAACGTCGGACCATTTTTCTTGAGTGGGGAATTTGAAGTTATTTTAGGAGAAGATATTCAGAACTTGACGAGGCGTTTAGGTTTTTGGCTAATCTTGGCATTAATTTTCAGCACAATTCAAGTTTTTTTATATGTGTAGTGTCGAGTAAAATTGGACTTTTATTCACGTATTAAAAGTGCTTAACGTGCGTCCGGTGATATTTTTTTTTGATTAATCGACAGCGAGGTTCCCTTGGTCTCAAAGAATTAAGAAACAAAAATAAAGCAGCCAAGTAACTTTTGTTTCGTGCTGATAGCCCTAACTCTCCAAAACATGACACAATTTAAGGATTCGTTAAATTAACAGTGGATATCCAGAGCAGCATAAACGAATAGATGTCGGATAAGTCTGTTAAACCAGATGGTGATGGCTCAGAAGACGGAGTCCGGGTTGGTGCTGATGACGAGGATATTGTGGAAAACGAAGGAGTCATTGATAATACTGAAGAAGTTGATCAAGTCTTTAACTTTCTTTTAAACAGAGATGGTAGTTTAGACGATCCCGACAATGCAGCAAGAAGCCTTGAAGCAGCGGAAGGATTAGTTCAAGGAACTGATGTTATAAGATGTGAGAGCTGCTCTAATTTTCTCCCGGCTGGATCGGTTGGTGGTGCCGGCACTAATATAAGTGTGGTACGTGAGAGCCGGGATATGAACAGAAGTGGAAGTGTGGAGTATCGTTATAAGATTCTAGTTGAAGGCGAAGGAGAGGGTTCAGTAGAAGAAGGTGTTGGGAAGGAGATTATCAAGGAAGGGGGTGAATACTTTTACAAGATTAAAGTGGGTGGAGAAAGGGGTGCGGTAGGTGGCGAAGTCGGTCCAGGTAATACGGATTGTGCAGACCACGAGGTTGTGGAAGAAGATGGCGAGTTATTTTATAAGATACGATTAGATTTAAAGCCAGGCACAGAAGAAGCTGGCGAATGTTCAGGAGAAGAAGACGATGCTAAAGAAGGTGGAACGCATGTCTATAAGATTCGATACGAAGGAGATGAGGGCGAAGACTCCAACATGGAAGTAGGTGAAATGATGCAAATGATTGGAGAACTTGGGGGACATGTTGGGGAAAAACGAGTCATCAAAGACGGACAAGAGTACATTTACGAAATACGACGTGAAGGAGTAGAATTTTTAGACGATGGGGCAGATGGTGTTCCGATTGCCGGAGATGGAGAATATGGCGATATTACTGATGATGGTGTGACCATCATTAGGGGACATGCAACAGGTCTGCCGATAGAGGGAGAGGAGACTTTCGTCAGAGAAGGTGGTGATGTAGTTTACAAAGTTCGAACTGTCTTGAGTGAAGGTACAGACGAGGTAGATAACATTGGCGAAAGCATGTCGTTAGAAGGAGCTGACGCTATCACCAGCGAAGGTGATGAAAGTGATATCGAGGTCAGAGAAGGCTCTGATCAAATCTTCAAGGTTAAAATGGACGGCACGGACACTGGATTTGATGGCTTGATGGACAAAGATATGCTTAGTAGAATAGTTGGAGGAGAATGCCAAGACGGAGAAGAAATTATTTCGGATGAAGATGGGGTTAGGGATGTGAGGGGATTTAGAGAGGGTCGAGAATATATTTATACTATCCGACACGGCGGAGAACGAGACATTTCAGAGGAGGGTGATGCAGAGTTTATCTCGAGGCTTGGAGTTAGTGGCGAGTTATCGTACATCCAGCATGATATCGGCGGCGTGGGTGAAGGAGAACGAATAATCGAAGACATATCAATGGCGGGGGGCGTACGAGAAAAGGTGTTTAGAGATGATGGTACTTACTACTACATTATTCGAATGAGGAGAAAAGGGTCGGGTTCGATGGACGGAGGCAATGAAATTATTATTCATGATAGGGAAGTCGATTGTTCTGACGACGATCCAATGCCAGGGTTGGGAGACTCAATGGAGGGAGTGGTGCGCGAAAAAGTCTTTAGAGAAGATGGTTCACATTATTACATTATTAGAGTCAGGAGGGAAGGGTCGGGCTCTATGGACGGAGGTAGCGAGATTATTGTTCAAGATGAGGAAGGAGAACATGTTGTGATGGAGCCAATGGTCGGGTTAGGAGCCAACGATGTAATAGCCGGAGAATCAGTAGAGGGAGGGGAGTGCGAAAAGATCTTCAGAGAAGATGGTACATATTATTACATTATACGAGGAAGGCGAGTAGGATCAAGTTCGATGGACGGAGATGGTGAATGTTCTGTGGATGAGCCAATAATCGTAGAGGGAGATGAGGATGTTTTAGCTGCTCATTCCACGGAGGGGGGTGTGCAAGAAAAGGTCTTCAGAGAAGATGGTACATATTATTACATCATGCGAGGCAGGAGAAAAAGGTCGGGTTCGATGACTGGAGAAGGGCGGTGTTCTGAGGACGAGGATATTTTAGCTGGAGACTCAACAGAGGAAGGGGTGCGAGAAAAGGTCTTTAGGGAAGATGGAACATATTATTACATAATTCGAAGAAGGCGAGGACGGCAACGTTCCATAGACGGAGAAGGAGGGTGCCCTAAGGACGAGACAGTTATCGTGGAAGGAGACGAAGAAGCTTTAGCTGGAGAGGAAGGGGTACCAGAAAAAGTCTTTAGAGAAGATGGAACATATTATTACATAATTCGACGTAGGCGAGGACGGCAAGGTTCCATAGACGGAGACGGGGGGTGCCCCGAGGACGAGACAGTTATCGTGGAAGGAGACGAAGAAGCTTTAGCTGGAGAGGATGGGGTGCCAGAAAAAGTCTTTAGAGAAGATGGAACATATTATTACATAATTCGAAGAAGGCGAGGACGGCAAGGTTCCATAGATGGAGAAGGAGGGTGCCCTGAGGACGAGACAGTTATCGTTGAAGGAGACGAGGAAGCTTTAGCTGGAGAGGAAGGGGTACCAGAAAAAGTCTTTAGAGAAGATGGAACATATTATTACATAATTCGAAGAAGGCGAGGACGGCAAGGTTCCATAGATGGAGAAGGAGGTTGCCCTGAGGACGAGACAGTTATCGTTGAAGGAGACGAGGAAGCTTTAGCTGGAGAGGAAGGGGTACCAGAAAAAGTCTTTAGAGAAGATGGAACATATTATTACATAATTCGAAGTAGGCGAGGACGGCAAGGTTCCATAGACGGAGAAGGAGAGTGTCCTGAGGACGAGACAGTTATCGAGGAAGGAGACGAGGAAGCTTTAGCTGGAGAGGATGGGGTACCAGAAAAAGTCTTTAGAGAAGATGGAACATATTACTACATCATTCGAAGAAGGCGAGGACGACAAGGTTCCATAGACGGAGAAGGAGAGTGTGCTGAGGACGAACCACAGATCGGGGTAGAAGATTGTATGGACGAAGGGGTGCAAGAGAAGGTCTTCAGAGAAGATGGTACATATTATTACATCATTCGAGGCAGGCGAAATAGGTCGGGTTCGGTGACTGGAGAAGAGGAGTGTACTGAGGACGGGGATGGGGAGTGCGCGGAGGACTCAACTGAAGAAGAGGTGCGAGAAAAGATCTATAGGGAAGATGGCACATATTATTACGTTATTCGAAGAAGGCGGGGAAGGTTAGATGCGATGGACGGAGATGAAGAGTGCGCAGAGGACGAGCCAGTGATTGGGATACGAGACGACGATAATTTAAGTGAGGACCCAACGGAGGAAGGTGTGCGAGAAAAGGTCTTCAGGGAAGATGGCACATATTATTTCATTATTAGAGGCAAGCGAAAAAGGACGGGTTCGATAACTGGGAAAGAGGGGTGTTCTGAGGACGCCGATGTAGAGTGTGCTGAGAATGAGCCAATGGTTGGGATAGGAGACGATGATAATTTCGACTCAACAGAGGAAGGGCTGCGGGAAAAGGTCTTCAGGGAAGATGGCACATATTATTTCGTTATTAGAGGCAGGCGAAAGGGGACGGGTTCGATGACTGGAGAAGAGGGGTGTGCTGAGGACGCGGATGGAGAGTGTGCTGAAGACGAGCCAATTGTTGGGATAGGAAACGACGATAATTTAAGTGAAGGCTCAACAGAGGAAGGGGTGCGAGAAAAGGTCTTCAGGGAAGATGGCACATATTATTTCGTTATTAGAGGCAGACGAAAGGGTTCGATGACTGGAGAAGAGGTGTGTGTTGAGGACGCCGATGGAAAGTGTGTTGAGGACGTTGATATAGAGTGTGCTGAGGACGAGCCAAATGTTGGGATAGGAGACGACGATGATTTAGGTGAAGACTCAACAGAGGAAGGGGTGCGAGAAAAGGTCTTCAGGGAAGATGGCACATATTATTTCGTTATTAGAGGCAGGCGAACAGGGACCGGTTCGATGACGGACGAAGAAGGACGTGCAGAGGACGCGGATGGAGAGTGTGCTGAGGGCGAGAAAATTGTTGGGATAGGAGACGACGATGATTTAGATGAAGACTCAACAGAGGAAGCTGTGCGTGAAAAGGTCTTCAGGGAAGATGGCACATATTATTTCGTTATTAGAGGCAAGAGAAAGGGGACGCGTTCGACGACTGGAGAAGAAGAGTGTGTCGAGGACGCCGATGGAGAGTGTGCAGAGGAGGAGTCAATTGTTGGGATAGGAGACGACGATAATTTAGACTCAACAGAGAAAGGGGTGCGAGAAAAGGTCTTCAGGGCAGATGGCACATATTATTTTATTATTAGAGGCAGGCGAAAGGGGACGGGTTCGATGACTGGTGAAGAGGATTGTGCCGAGTCTGACCAATTGGAGGAAGGGGTACGAGAAAAAGTCTTTAGAGATGACGGTACATATTATTACATTATTCGAGGCAGGAGAGCAGGATCGGGGGCGATGGATGATTGCAGTGACATCACTGTTCACGAGGGAGAATCAGAACAAAGGATTCCAAGTGATGGTGAAGTAGAGGCAGACGAATCTTGTTTGGGTAGTGAAAATGGTGACCATAGCCTGCTTGCTGGAGATAGTTCGGAGTTGGGAGCAGGCGAATATGCGTACAAGATTTGCTATGACGAACATACCACGGGAGATGATGATTTAGTTGGAATAATCAGTAGTAGTGATACAGATGGAACTGCTGGGATGATGGCCATTGGCAAGGGACACGTGGGTGGTGGAGAACTTCAGTCTGGTGATAATCCAATTGAAGAGATGCTCATTAGCGAGGTGAGCAGTGACGTTGTTAGAAGTTGTCGAGAAGAAGAGCGAGACGCTTTAGGTTGTGCGGATGCAGTTCACGGACGTGAAAGAGTTGCGAGAAATATTTTGTGTGGAGGTGAGAATATATTAACTGTAGGCTTCATGTTTGTTTAATTACAATATTCTCTGTATGGTTTGCTTTAATGAAAGTATGTCTCGTCCTGAATAAACGAACGGTATTAGTCCTGCTTGTTTTTTCGATGCCTAACGAACCTCTACCCCCCCCCCCCCCCCTTATTTTTTTCTACCTAGGCACCTCGCGAGAAAACGTTGTAGTCTTGTCAAATGTCTTAGTGGTGTTGTCTATGATAGCTGTGAAGCAGGAATGTTAAAATCTAGTCTAACATTACTGAAATTCTAAACGAAATCAATTTACTTTCAGGAGCCTGGGATGAACCTGATGGTGCTGTTGACGACACCGACGAGAATGTCGAAGAGGAGCCGCCCGAAGATGACAGAGATTCGGGAACAACCGAGGAGATGGAACGCTTGGACCAAAACTTGATTGAGGATAATGAACTACACCATGCGAATACATTCGAAGAAAAACCAAAAAAATATTTCGGGGGTCTTGGATATCTACTTACCCGATTCAAGAGTACCGATAATCAAAATATACCTTTAATACCGAAAGAGAGGACAAAGAAATGTTTTTGCGGACGTTCATTAGCGTTCTTGGTGATAGTTTCTGGGTTTTTGTTTGGATATGACACTGGTGTAGTATCGGGTTCTATGCTCTTAATTAGACCTTATTTTAAATTGAATGTGATATGGACACAGGCGATAGTGAGTGCTACGGTAGCAACTGGTGCTGCAGTGGCAGGATTAGCTGAATTTGTGGCAGATATCGTAGGACGAAAGATTATAATTTTATTAGGGGCTATCATATTTACATCTGGGGCTGTTATTATGGGGATAGCCGATAGCACCATAATGGTCATTTCAGGGAGAATTGTAGTAGGCTTAGCAATGGGTGAGTATTGTATTATGATTAAGACTAGTAATTGCGTCCACTATGTTCATGTAGTGCCTTTTTATAGCAATTCTTTGTCCCCCCCCCCTTCTCCCCTATGCAGGCCACTTTGTGTTGACTTTCGGCTCTAAAATCGGAGAAGGTTGTTTGAATTTCCATTTCCTGCAAGGTTTTATTGAATATGCATGGACCAGCAAGTAAACAGACAAGTATTAGGGTGATCGTGTGATAAAATGACCTTTCTGCATATTGACCAGGACCAGCAACAAATCGCAATGGTCAATCCCTTTCAATATCAGATGATTGTGACATATAATTGGACTTTGAGCGGTAATAAAGTATAGGCTCATCGGAATATTTAAAACACAAAGACATGATATAGGCTAAGAAATGACATGGATTAAACAGAGTAAGATAACTACACACAACTGGAGTTATCTTTCCTTGGTTTTAAATAATTTCAAAAGCACAGCAGTCCACATTCCTAGTTTTTGCAGATCGGCCGGGTATTAAAAAAAAGAAAATCTTCAGGAAAAAGAATATTCACAACTTAGAATTGTACCATCTGAATATCACGTGGAATTGAATTACTGTTGAACCTGGAACTGGTTGCATACACTTGGTGATCAGCTTCTTGCCATATGCTTGTTCTTTGGACATTTGTGCATCAATTAAAAACGCTTCTCACTTTATGTATGGTCTAAACTATATCTGTAATCTCTATACTTGAATAGAATTGAATTCGAAAGAAGTTCACCATTATTTTCGCGCATTAAAAAAAAAACAAAAACAAAAAAAAACAGTTACCCTGACGTTGACAATTGTTCTTCTGCCATGTTACATGTAAATCAATCATTCCATTGTTGCTGCCTTGATAATCTGAATACACGTTGTTATGACGTTAGGATATGTCAGACGGTATTGTCTGTACTGTTTTATCTGTGCTCTATCTGGCTATCCCATTTGGCTGATTGAATATGGCTTACTAACAGGGTTCGATCTTACTGCGGTTCGTAAACGTTCGTCGGGATGTTACAGGACGGGGGAGCTGGCATGGTAATGTGTTTACACGTTAGCATTCCAGGCCCTCTGCCGGGCACCGATGTCCAGTCGTGTAAGGTGTCGTTGTATACGTAAAAGAACATTTGGCAGATGCAATTCGATAATAGAAAAGCTAAAACTCTACTGCCCGGGCAAAGTACCACATTGCATTGCATTATCCCGGTTGGCACATAAAAGTGGGACCTTAAAAAAACCATTTTATTTCATTTCCTATGTTTTATTGAAACATATTCGTTTTTTTTTCTCATTACAAGGTTTGAGTACGGTTGTGGTACGATTGTATGTAAAAGAGTCGGCCCATATATCCAATAAGAAATGGCTAATTTCGATGTTAAATATGTTTTTTACTGTGGGAAATCTGGTCGCAAATTTTCTGTGCATGGTATTGAGTTATATTGGTATTTATGTTGGTGACGATACAATGTGGAAGTAAGTATATATTTTAATATATGTTCATTCTGTACGCCCTTTACTGTAGTTATATATGTGCATACTTTACTGTACGCCGTTAACTATATTTAGATCGATACGCCGTGGAAGCGGACGTAAAATACGATTAACTCACACACGTTAACTGTATTTAAATCTGTAGTTTGATATGTAATAGTTTACTGTATTTTATATCGCTACGAGTTTCACTGTACGCCGTCCTGTACGACGTTAACTGTATTTTATATATGTGAATGCTTTACTGTATTTTAGATCTGTAAGTAGTTTACTGTATTTTAGATCTGTTCGTCGTTTACTGTATTTAGATCTGTACGTAGTTTACTGTATCTAGATCTGTACATAGTTTACTATATTTAGATCTGTTCGTCGTTTACTGTTATAGAGCTGTACATAGTTTACTGTATTTTAGATCTGTACGTGGTTTACTGTACGTTGTTTACTGTATTTTAGATATGTACGTCGTTTACTATACGCTGTTTACAGTATTTCAGATATGCACGTTGTTTAAAGTACTTGGTGTACTGTATATTTGATATGTACGTCGTTTACTGCATTTATGAACGTCGTTTACTGTATGTACGTCGTTTACTGTGTTTATTAACGTCGTTTACTGTATTTCTTTATTGTATTTTATAAATGCATTGTAAGGAAAATATGGATTTACTAGATGTGAGCTATATTTCTGGCTTGCTGTATTTACAGTTATTTAGAACTTTTCTGTTTATTTGACTGATTTTACTTATTAACAAGGCCTTTTCCCACTATTATTTAGATATGTTTTGGGATTTGGTCTTGTACCTGCGGTTTTACAATTCATCGCTATGTTTATTTTACCCGAATCTCCGAGATGGCTGATGGAGGAAGACGATCCAGAGCAAGCGAGGGAGAATTTAATAACTTTACGGGGAACTGATGAAATAGAAGCAGAGTTGAATCAGATGCGCTTGGATGTAGAGCAGGAGAAAAGAGAAGCTGAAAAGGGTGAATAGGTTTCCTCGGTTAACTAAGCGCCAAGTCACATTAGTGAAATTATCTTGAGGCTTTTCTATATACATGACAAATCCATTCCTGTGTCCTATAGATTCAAATTCTTTTCACCTTAGCATAAATCTTAAAGCAGAGAGCAGGTCCTATTCATTTACATCTGGGAGTCGCAGTGGCTTAGTGAGTAAGATATGGGCTCGCAAAGCTGGAGGTCATGTGTTCGCTCCCAGTAATTAACTATGTTGAATATATGGAGAATCTCATAGCAGTCTTTTTTTTATATAGAAAAAAATCAACATAAAGTGGACTATGTAAAACAGAAGGAGGCTTTGCCGGGTTGTTTTTACTTTATCGACAAGTGTTAAAATAAAAAAAGACTGCTAGGAGATTCTCCATATATTCAACATAGTAAAGTACCAGGAGCAAACAAGTAGGAGATTCTGTATGTATCACCTAATCCTTTATTACATGTCCAAATAAATAAATATAATTCTTTGTTATAGATTTCACTTTTCCTGATACAGCGATTATTGGACAGCAATTCAACCATTGCAAAGTCCTTTATTGCACTAGATTATGAAAGTTATCACACAGGCTATATCTACTGTAGAAAGTGTTATTGGGTGATAAATATTATATATTCTACTATTATATATTATAATCTACTATATATGCATATATTATTTTAGATAGTAGTGATGATGATGATTCTCCCTGGGGTGTTTTTGAAGATGTTATTGATGAACTAGACGATGGTATGTTCAGGCTCTATTATCAGTGGATTAAAGGACAATATTGGTGTCAGCCATTATCACATATATATAAAACTGGTTTAACATGTTTCAAATATAATTTTAACAAATAGTTTAGGACAATATTGGTGCCAGTCATTATCACATATGTGATACAAATGGTTAAAATATTCCAAAAATTACTTTAACACAGAGATCATTGCTACGATAGATGCGTAATGAAGATTTAAAAAACCGGAAGTGACAAAGGCAGAAGGAAAACACGAGTTATCCTTCTATATAACTGACCGAAGGAACGAGGGATAACAGATACACGGGCGAATTTCTGCGCCCTGATATTTCCTTCGAAGACCAAAAGTTGTTATATATGAGACTATGAGAAGATATCTTCGTTACGTATCTATTGTAGTAAAGATCTCTGTGTTAAATTTATATTTGGAACGTGTTTAACCAATTCTATCACATACGTGATAATGACTGACACCAATATTGTCCTTTGAATTCTCTAAATATGATCTAAACAGTGATCAAAGTTTCTGACCAATGTCGGCTTGAACACAAATAGTTGATCTGGCCGAGCCATATCCTTTATGTATCGGAGATTTCGATTTACTCAACACTAAGGAGCAATAAATATCCTAAAACCATTAGTATAAAATCGAGTTCGTATTGCGCAAATAAAGAAAATTCTTTCTTGTATAGCATCCATCATTTTCGTCTGCGATATATAAAGCCGATGACCAAAGCAAGAGTCACGTCCTTTTTCTTCGGGTGCAATAAAATAAATCAAAATATTATGTGGGGGGGGGGGACTTCTAGGCATTGGGGGGGGGGGACTTCTAGGCATTGCTAACAGTAGCGATGAACGGGTGTGTGTGTGTCGGTTTTTAACGTTCACGAAGATAATGACAGTTCTTGTTTTCTAAATATTCAGATGTAGAAGACACTTTTGACACACAAAATGAAAACAGACCAAACCAAACAAATAACGATAATTCAACGTCGCCCGTGGGAAATAGAGGTGGCGCTTCTGACGGCAAAAGTGGAACAGGAAATGATGAAAACCCAAATAGAAACGAAGGAGAATTGAAGAGTGGAAACGGGGATGAATCGGCTCAAAATGGCACAAGTAATAATAGTATCACAGGAAAACACAACAGTTCATCCGGAAACTCATACCAGAGCGGCAATAATCCTGATGTAGCAAAAGATAAAAACACCTCTGGTGCGTCCCCTGAAGGATCACCAGGAGCAACATCCGATCAGCCAGGCAACATCTCAGATAATAGTTCATCAACTGGATCTAACAATCCTAGCGGCACTGGAACAGACAATGGCACGGGGGATGGTAGTCAGAATAACGGAACTAACAGTTCGGCCGGACAGGACAATGGCAGGAACAGCACAGATCCTCTGGGTACGGGTGGTGGGTCTAATAACCATAGCAATACCCGAAAAGACAATGGCGATAGTACAGGTGCTGGTGCTAACAGTTCGGCCAAACAGGGCAGTGACGGAAACAGCACAGGTTCGCAGGGCACAAGCGATGGGTCTGACACGCATAACAGTACTGAAAGAGACAATGGGAACGGCACAAATGCTAAAGGGGAGAATGGCCTAAGCAATAGCTCAGCCAAACAGAGTAATAGCAGTAACGGGACAAATCCTCATGATACAAGTGATTCTCCAGGATCTAAAAATCATAGCGGCAATGGAAAAAACAATGGCAATAGTACAGGCTCCAACGGCAAGAATAATGCAACTAACAGTTCTGCCGAACAGGGCACTGACAATAAAAGCACAGGTCCTCAGGACACGGGTGATTCTCCAAATTCAATAGGGTCTGGCAATCATAGCGGTACCGGAAACGAAAATGGCAATAGTACAGGGGCTAAAGGAAACAATGGTTCAGGAACCAATAATCAGAGCGGCAGTGGACCAGATGGACAAAGCAACACTCGAGACGGTACAGGATCAACAAATTCACCTTCAAACGGAGCTAAAAATGGCAAACATAATCCGGGTAAACCAAACAGCAACAATGGAAAGAAAAAGTCGAATCCGAACTCAAAGGGAGGCAAATCTTCTGTGGGTGCTAATAAAAGCGAGTACACTCCTCTCGAAGGTAGTGCGAAACCAGCGCCGGGTCGTCCGGTCATAGTGAGAATATGGAACAAACCGAAAGTACGACGACCGTTCCTGAACGTTTTGTTTTTGTTTCTCTTTCAACAACTATCCGGTATCAGTGTCCTCATGTAAGTATAATCGTATTTAAAGATGCATCATGTAAGATTTCACTAAACAGCTGACAGCTCTTGCTATAATAGTTAAACAGATATTGAAACTTTCAGTCAAATTACTTCATTCTGAGCGAAGATATGGCCCTTTGAAGAATAGTGTAGCCTCGATTGTCATTGCTAAGGGGGTATCGTGACCGAATGCATCATAAGATATACGAGCAGGCCACAGCGCCACTGTCCGAGCATCATTTCCTTCATTGCAAAGGGGGGTTGGATGGCTGAATGGTTAGCGTGCGCGCGCTGTATCATAAAGTCTGTCATTGAGTCAACTGGCGTGGTTTCGAATCCCCGGTTGTACGTGACAAGGAGTACGGTCGCCTGTCCAACCTCGTGGGTTTTCTCCGGGCCCTCCGGTTTCCTCCCACTGCTAAAGACCCCTACGCGCAAGCGAATTATTGAAATAAAATTGAACCATATGTTAGTCCCGAAATGACCTACTTTGTGTCGAGTGGACGTTAAACCCCATTTCTCTCTCTCTTTTCATTGCAAAGTGTATGGCATACACGCCCATTTTCATTAGCCCAGTCGGATCAGAACAGTTGGACGTTAAACCCCATTCATTTTATTATTTTTAGATTATATGGCGGTTCTATCATATTTCTGGCTGGCATGTCAACCACCATGTCTCTCGGTCTACTCAACCTCCCTAATGGTCTTTACGTCATAGCTACATATATTTCTACTAAAAAGGATACATTGGAAGATAACCGGAAGTTACTATTGATGGTCAGTTTCTTTGGTAAGTCATGTCTTACGGTTCCGTTATTTACTACAAACGATGGTGATTCGTTTAGGACCTTAGATTATATGAAAGGAATTTAAAACGAAAAAGCTACGAAATAGGATTTAATTGTAATCAGACTTCCAGGTCTCCTTCAGATTATCATGGGGTAGGTTGGAGTGGGTGCTGTCGCAAGGGTACGGATACCCTGCTCAACTCATGACACCAGTCTCAAATGCCAATGACGAAACGTCGAATGCTTAGCGATGAGTCATTTCTGGTGGCTCGGTGATAATGGCGCCGGCCCACTAAACCGGAGAAGCCGGAATCGACCCAGGTGGCATTCTGTTCACAGAGAGCTATCTACTCTACTCCGAGAACAGATCTCTGTCCTACTGCCCTTAATACAACAATCAGTATGCTTAGGTCTATTTGTTAAGGCCAACTTCAGGTTTGGTCAAAGGTCACGAGATGTAAACAGGGTTAACCCCGTACCAAGCCCCAACCTTTACCCTAACCCTACAATCTCACCAACAATCACGTGCCCGAACCTTATTTACATCTCAGCGACCTTGAAGAAAATTGAGCTGGCCTTAACAAATAGATTTAGCCCGATAAGTATACTGTTTTGTAATGCAGTCCTACTCCGGTTCACGTCCGTTATACACAAAAACACTAATTAAACCTTTTCAATTTTAATAAATAAAAGCAGAATATATACTTCTCAAAATATACTAATTGGTTTCGACTAAAATCGTCGATACAGGACTTATAATGGTGGTCAACTAGCTTAGTGTTTGTTCACAAACAGACAACGTAAATTCAGCGTTTCCAGGTGGTTGCGCGAGTTCCCAGCATGCTTTCCTATGTCAGTGGCGCAGTGGCGTACGTAGTTAGGACATGTGTATAGTCGCCCGGTTGTTACAAATCGAGGTTCTTCGTATACCACTTGGGACATTAATGGCCCCCTGACACTTGAAGCGTTAATGACCTTTTGACACTTGGAGCGTTAATGATTCCCTGACACTTGGAGCGTTAATGATCCCTTGACACATGGAGCGTCATTGATCCCCTGACCCTTGGAGCGTTGATGATCCCTTGACACTTGGGGCGTTAATGATCCCATGATACTTGGAGCGTTATTGATCCCCTGATACTTGGAAATGTAAATAAGAGTAGAGTAGGTCGTAACACAGCTGTTGGGATAAACTGTTCCTCATAGCACAATGTATGGTGTATGCCAATCTTCATAAGCATGGTTGGTGTACGTTTCATTTATATCATTCATAGGTGGAATTATATTTTGAGAAGTCAATATTAGCGCTCTTTGTTGTTGTTTTTGACGTAGAGACTCAGACAATTCAATGTTTTGTTGTGTTTTCAGGTGTTTTTATGGGAATGTGTTTTATAGCAACCGGGTTTCAGCTCCAGGAATCATATATAACACCTGTTAATTACATAGAGGATTTATCAAACGTTCAACTGAACGTCTCCGTCTATCCATACTGCAATCATTCTTATTACTCGTACGTATTTCATTCATTTATGGAGAGAGAGATAGAGGGGGAGAGATAGAAGAGAGATAGAAGAGAGAGAGAGATTAGTTTAATATGCCCTCCCCCCCCCCGACAACTTGGTAATGCCATTGGTCATGCCCTGGGGTCCATGTATCTGACCCATGACAATGAATGGTTATCGTTCATATTACATTTAAACTTCCCCAAGGTAATGTATATGTTTAAAATTAAATTAATGGAGCGAAAATAAAACGTTGCACTTTGTCCTCCAAACGGAATCCGTCGGGCCATTGTTAACGCTATACCATTAGCAACACAATGTATAAGTTACCCTGATGATCACTATGTTGTGAAACCGGTTGGTAATGAATTTATATGAAGACCAATCTTCAGTTTGTTATTCTTAAAGAATATTGAAGACATAAACCATGAACATTTAACTTTTACATCTATATATAATTGAAATTAAAGATGGCAAAATAAAACTACATTTTTATGCTAACGTTTTCACCGCGACAGCGGCTCTTCAGGCATTTATTAAACAATAATTCAATTAACAATAGTCTATGACGTCACAATGTCATAGTTACATTATTATCGGAGTGTCTAGTTAAAAATAAATCAAACTTTACACCAAGATTAGGAAAAGATGCACATCTAGATAACTTCATTACTTCTATTGCATCTCAGAAAATTCAACCAAGACTCTACAAACAAAATTTAAGTAAGGGTGAACTAATGGTAATAAATGAGATGAAGAACAATCCAAATATAATTGTCAAACAAGCTGACAAGGGAGGAGCTATAGTAATGATGGACAGCTTATTCTATGAACGGAACATTGTAAAAATGCTGAATGACACTGAATACTACCAGCTATCGAGCATCGAAGATAACAATGTCGTAAAGAAAAGGATAGTGAAATTTATCACTAAAAACGCCAAGCCTCTACATAAAGGAGAAGAGGAATATTTAGAGGATTTTGAACCTACCACGGCTTACTTCTATGGTCTACCAAAAGTGCACAAGAGTAAGCTGATAGAAGAAGCTGTCAAACAATCTAATAATGAAGTTGTTGAAGTACTTAGTCCAGAAGACCTAAAATTTCGACCAATCGTAGGGGGGCCCAACAGCAGTACCCAACGACTCAGCAAATTTATAGACATCATCTTAAAACCATTATGTTCTCGCGTTAAAAGCTTTCTTCGCGATGATATAGATTTTCTACATCAACTACCTACACAGGTAGAACCTGGTAGTACACTTATTAGCTTTGATGTAGTTAATTTATATAACAATATACGCAAAGATCTGGGACTTAAAGCTGTCGAATATTGGCTAAATAACCACGCAGACCTCATACCAGACCGGTTTTCAAATTCATTTATCCTCGGTGCATTAGATCTTGTGATATCAAATAACATATTTTTCTTCAATGGCCTATACTATACACAAATCAAGGGAGTCGCTATGGGTACGAAAGTTGGCCCTACCTATGCTACTTTAACTTTAGGTTATCTTGAGGAAATATGGTATGAAAGGGTGAAAACAACGTTTGGCAATGAATTCGGTAATTTAATTAAGACTTCATGGAAACGGTTCTTAGATGATTGTTCTGTGATACTCAGAGTATCTCAAGAAATCATCTCAGAGCTTCATAAAATGTTAAATAGTTTAGATGACAGTATTCAGTTTACAATTGAGCAGAGTCAATCCACATTAAATTTTCTGGATGTCACAGTTAAGCTACACGCAAACGGCTCTATTGAAACTGATGTGTATTACAATAAAACCGATACACATCAATATCTAAATTTTAATTCTTGTCACCCACCTCATACGAAACGAAACATCCCATATAACTTAGCTAGACGAATTTGTACAATTGTGTCCAATCAAGATGTCAAAGTTCAGAGACTACACGAACTAAAAGGTTTCTTATTAAAACAACACCATCCAGGTAAATTAATAGACGATGCTAACCAAAGAGCATTGAGTCTGGACCAAAGCGTTTTAAGACAACCTAAAGTTCCTGTAGACTCTGATAAAAGGAACGTTGCTTTAGTTACTACATTCAATCCGTCCCAGGAAAATGGGAAGTCTATCATTGAAAATTACATCCATATCCTTTAAAATAGCCAAACGATGGATACAATATTGAGAAAAACAAATATAATCAACAGTCTAAAGCAACCTTCCAATCTAGCTAGGATTATAACATCTTCTAAATATGATTCAGTCGGTTCAATTCCAGTAGTTTCGAAATGTGGTAATTCAAAGTGTAAAACCTGTGACATTATTATTGAGGGATCATCCATAAAAATTAATGATGATAATACATTTTATATCAAACAGGCAATGAATTGCCAATCGAACTATGTAATTTACCTTATAGCGTGTCCGGGATGCAAGGGAAGGTATATAGGAAAGACCCAAATGATGCTTAGGTTGAGAATGAACCTCCATCGACAGCACATACTTCAACCAAAATACAGGATGATCCTGCTCAGTGAGCATCTTGAAGTATGTTGTGTTTTTTCCTTTATATAGACTTAATAGCAAAAACAACGAACTCTTGGAGGCAAAAGAAAGCTATTTTATTGAGAAGTACCACCCGAAACTTAATTCTAAATAATAGAATAATTAAATTAAATTAAATTAAATAAAGACCGTGGTGGGATTGAATATTTGTAGTCTGTAGGCTAAGAAATTACTACCCTTGCCTGTATAATAATGTAACTATGACATTGTGACGTCATAGACTATTGTTAATTGAATTATTGTTTAATAAATGCCTGAAGAGCCGCTGTCGCGGTGAAAACGTTAGCATAAAAATGTAGTTTTATTTTGCCATCTTTAATTTCAATTATATATTACCAAAGAGCAGCTTTAATTAACTATTCTACTATATATATATATATATATATATATACATATACATATACATATATATATACATACATTGGCATGAACGGAATAGGAACATTTCACTCGAATTACATTATCAGTAGTAATGTACATGGTGCCCCTAACGCCCCCCCCCCCTAAAAAAAAAAACCAAAAAAAAAAAAAACCCCAGACCCCATAACTTTTTTTTATAAATCCTGCAAAGGCCAACCAAATTTGATGACATTTGTTGGACTTAAACATCAGTCTGTGCACGATCATCTTCCTTTCCTTCCAAAGTGCTAAAAAGAAAGTGTACCATGTGCTGGTCCCGAAATGACCTAGTTTTTGTTGAGTCAACGTTATCCCCGCCCCCTCTCTCTCCCCCCTCTCCCTCTCTCGTGAACTATATGTTAGGCATGGACGTTAAACCCCATTTCTCTTTATCTCCTCCAGGTCTTGTGAACTGTGTGTTAGGAACGGATATTGTGGTTTCTGTCATCCAGTTGGTGATTGGTTGAATGGATCGTGTTTACCAATGCAAGTCAATAATACTCAACGATCCGTGGTAGGAAGATGTAACATATCACATTATCCCGGAGCTGAATATGAGTTTGTCGATGCATCAGGTGGCTGTCATAATTTCTCATGGTTTGTTGTGGTCGGCATGGTGGTTTTTGTTCTCTTCTATGCACCAGGTAAGTTTTACTTATTTATTACAGCCGCTTCTTCATCGCCTCCTTCTTCTTCTTCTTTAGTTCTGGCGGAGTTGGATGCCACGTGTGCGCTGTATCATATGGTCTGTCATTGAGTCAACTGGCGTGGTTTCGATTTCCCAGTTGTACGTGACACGGAGAAGGGTCGCCTCCCCAACCTCGTGGGTTTTCTCTGGGTCCTTCGGTTTCCTCCCACTGCTAAAGCCCCCTACGCACAAGCGAATTATTGAATGAAATTGAACCATGTGTTAGTACCGAAATGGCCTAGTTTGTGTCGAGTGGACGTTAAACGATATTTCTCTTTAGCTCTTTCTTAATGTATCTTTAATATAACCTTAGAAGCTGACATCAACACTTATTTTCCCAAATCATATACACCAATTATCTATTCATCCCGTTAGCGGACCAGGAAATTATCTAGTTTGTGCCGGGTGGACGTTATTCTTTTTATACATCAATAATGGTTTCCTAAAATTACAGGTTTAGGTCAAGTGACTCACAGTGAAGATTCCGAAAGATGCCCTGTCTGGGCCAGAAAAACTTCCAATTCTATTTCCAGATCCGTCAACTGGGTGGCCAACCTCCTGATATCTATGAGTTTTCTTCTGCTGGTTGAGGGCATTACTACATACGGTAAAGTATTCTTTCACTCTGATTAAAACGCAGATCCTATCTCGTTTCGTTTTTTATAGTTCTAAATTTTGTTTTACTTGTCTTCGCAACATGTAGTGTAGACCATCGAAAGTATAAAAAAACGGAACGAAATATAGATCTTTATTTTAATCAGATTGGTATTGTATTGGTTGTCTACACTTTACGCTTTCGAGAAAAATGAACAGAGTTGTCCTCCTTAGTAAAGATTGGTTATAGTTATGTCCCCTTGGTGGCATGGAAATATGATGGCGATGTCTACACTTTAACTTCCGAGAAAACTGAACAGAAATGTCCTTCTTAGAAATGATTTGCCCCCCTGAGGGCATGGAAACATGATGGCGATGACGTCTGTTTAGATCTATTTCATATGGCCAACTTCACGTTTGGTCAAAGGTGACGAGATGTAATCAGGGCTAGCGATAATCCCAACCCTAACCCTGGACCTAGCCCTAACGTTTATAAAACTAACCTACAATCTCGCCAACAATCACGTGCCCTAACCTTATTTACATCTCATAGACCTTGATGAAATCTTGAGTTGGCCTTAATAAATAGATCTAGCCAATGACGTCTATAATAGCTAAACGGCACGCAGATGCTAAATTGGTGGAAAACGGCGCCTGTCTTCCGGTGGTGGGTGAAACGTCAAATCACAGATATAGAATGGTGAATTTAGGGCTTTATCATCAAGCTAAGCGTATCAATTTATTTGAATCGGTCCATGGCTTGATTTTTCTATAGTTTTACTGCAAAAATAAAGAGTTGGACATATTTTTCAAGGAAAATATAAACCCTATTCAGTGATCCAGCTCCGCACTAGTGTAAATGTAATGTGTGTGTGTGTGTGGGTGGGGGGGGTGACTGAATGGTTAGCACGTGCGCACGCTGTATCATAAAGTCTGTCATTGAGTCAACTGGTGTGCTTTCGAGTCCCCGGTTGTACGTGACAAGGAGTAGGGTCGCCTGTCCAACCTCGTGGGTTTTCTCCGGGCCCTCCGGTTCCTCTCATTGCTAAAGACCACTACGCGCAAGCGAATTATGAAAATAAAATTAAACCATATGTTAGTCCCGAAATGACCTAGTTTGTGTCGAGTGGACGTTAAACCCCATCTCTCTCTCTCTCTCTGACATCAGTCAGCGAAAGTGATTATACAATGTACACTGATACGTTAGCTATAGTATTGTGAGTACAATGTACACTGGTACGTTAGCTACAGTGTCACCTGGATTACTTACAAATTAACTTTTAGTGTTGTGAGTATGATATTGTTTTAATTAATGGACATACTCCTATGTATTTTTCTTGTTTTAGGAACCTTCTGGATGTTTAGTGGATTTTGTCTGTTCGCCTTTGTTTACGTTACGAAATATCTGGCCGATGATGATTAATGAACAATAAATAAATAAATATAATATTATTTTTAAAGTTTTTTTTGTATTATTAACATCTTGATAAAACTATTAGCAGTCCATGCTGGATTGGGTGGGTGGCGTGGTTTCGATTCCCCGGTTGTTCGTGACAAGTAATAGGGTCGACTGTTCGACCTCGTGGGTTTTCTCCGGGGCCTCCGGCCTCCGGTTTCCTCAAACTGTTAAAGACCCCCACGTGCAAGTGGATTATTGAAATAAAATTGAAGCATATGTTAGTCCCGAAATGACCAGTTTGTGTCCAGTAGACATTAAACCACATTTTTCTCTTTCTCTCTCTCTCATGCCAAGGGGGATTCTTGTACACAGAAACGAAAATAGAACAAAAAGAGTTTAATGGCCCACTATTCTAAATCAACTGGACTGATAAAGACGGGAATCCGTCATGTGGTGGTCTATGAGTAACATTTCGCCAGGACAGTTGCGTTTCAACTGGTCTACTCCACACCGCATTCCATCTGACAATGGAGGTCGTGTTCGATCCCTGCATTGGCCGAGAAAGTTCATCCAGATTTTCCGGCGTGGTTCCCCCTTGTCACTGATGCAGGACAGAGGGCCTGACAAGGACAGCTGTCTAGTCCTTCGGATGAGACAAAAACCGTGTATATATTGGAATGCACGTACAAGATCCCCTGGCAAAAAACAGCGACCGTTGACCCCGTGTAAACCTTGGCATCATTTAAAGAGGATCCTTTGGTTCTAATTAAGTTAAAGTGATGTAACTTTGATTCTGATTGAGTGGGAGTGGTGAAACGTCGTGTATAGTGTCAATACATTTACACTAATACTTTGACTATGTTCGATGGTGAACATTTATTGCTTAGGCTAAGTAGAGACTTCAGTCTGATTGGTCGAGATTTTAGAAAATGATAACTCTCCTTCTAATTGAGGTAAACTGTTTAAACTTTGTGTGAGTGTCTATTAGGTGAATGTCTTGATGGAGTTCGATCATGCTTGTGTTCCACTCAGGCAAAGCAGAGATAGGCAATGTAATTGGTTGAGACTTTGGAACACGGTAACTTTGGTTCTAAATGAGTGAGAGCGATTCATTATATCAATACCCCGGACTAAGTTCTATAATGAGAATTTTCTGCTTTTGCGATAAGTAATTTGATTGGTCAAGACTTTGGAACGTAACAACTCAGCTTTTAATTGAGGTAGAATGTTTAAACTTGATGTAAATGTTCATTAGTATGGAAAACTAAACAGCTCTTTATCCAATGTTCTTAGTCCTTATTTCTTAATTCATATTCCTTAATTCTTATATAGATCTGTATTTTAATCAGATTGGCGTTTACTATTTCAATACAAGATACCTTTTACACCAGCATCTGTTATACATCAATGGATATATTTGAATTTTAATAATTCAGAGACGACAAAGCGAAAGCGAATGTAATTGATACTCCATTAAACCAAGTATATATAATACAGATTAAAATAAGGGAACAAGCAATTCGATACATCCGCCGTCCTTCAATAGCATTTTTAAATATAAAATAGAAATGCATAGGCTTGTTGTTTATTTATTGCAATATCTCTGTAGTTTGTCCACAGGTTTGTCTTCTGGGTTTTGTTTACTTTGCGTTTAGTGCGGACTTACTAAAATTAATTGTGATTTAAAGCTACAATTTCATATTTTTAAGTTATATTTTTAAAATTTATTAAAATAAAGCCTTAAAATAGATGGTATCCATAAACCGTCCTACCTTGTTAAAGAATAATCCTATTAATTCTATAATTCACTATTGCCAGCTGAGAAATTGGCAAGAAATATCCATCTTCAACTTCAAATTCCAACGTTTGAAGGTAGCTAATGCATGGAGGCAATAGGAAAACAAGGGAGGTAATTGTGTTATTATTTCCTGTGTCAATGATTTTTAAGGGTGGGAGAATAATACCTATGATCGTATAATAGTGAGTTGACAACCTATTGAGCAAAAGACATAGAAATAATTATGTTTTGACTTTCTTAGAAAATATGAAATTCTCGCTTTAAAGTGATGAAACCAAATTAAAAGATTATTATATTGAAATAGTGGGGATTATATTATATCCCTCATTAGCCCAGTCGGGGCAGAAAAATGAGACTTTAAACCCCATTTCATTTTATTTTTTCGATTAATGAACGATTAACAATTGAACTTAGGTTTGCATGATGACACTACAGAAACTGGCATATATATATTTTATTCAAAATATTAACAAATAACTTCTATCAGGTTTTTGTTGACAAACAGTTGCAAAGCATTTCTTAGCAATTTCCGCTAAAAATTAACCAATTTACTAATTTACAGAAATGGATGACACTTTATCTTGTGAAAATTAGCAGCCTCTTCAACCACCTTCAGTTTTTTCAGGTCAAGGTTGTATACACCTTTATTTACAAGTTGTCGTGTCTTATCATAATGTTCCTTTATCATAGAGATGCAGTGTTTATTTTCATTTTTACACCACGTGGTCAGGTGTTCTTGTTTTACTATATTACAGAATTCAAACAATACCCACATTACATTTGTTTTAAATGGTTCACACATTTTTTGAATATCTTGTTCTTTGTTGAGTACCGTGTTATCAACTGCTGCACAATAAGCTTGACGATTTACTGTATTGTTAGCATCTTTATAATATTTTTCGTGTAATGTCACATGGAAATCGGGTGTTAAATCAGGAGAAGTTAATTCGTGACCTGGGATCAGATGAAGTTTGCTGTATTTCTGTAAATCTACATTTCCAATATCAATATGCCAATCATATCTCTCCTTTTCAAAATAAAATGCATACGTCATAATAATATTTACTGGACTCATAATTCCAGCATCTTGTGATCCTACTTGAATATAAGCTTCTTCTATCGTGGAAACGTTGACATATTTTAAGATATGATTTCTACAATTGGTTATTGTGTCTCTCCAGATATACACAGGAAAATAGGTCATAAAGTCTGACGGCATGTGCTTCCCGATCATTTTTTTACCTTGATTGTCCCAATTTCGTACCCAATTATACTGAAACGTGTTCATTCCTTTTACGCGCAGTTTTTTTCCGTTAAGAATATTTCCAGGTGTCACTGGAGTAGTAAATTTACCATCAGTATCTATCCAAGCTACTATCGGTGTTGAAATGAATTGGTCCATAATAAAACTAGAATACAGTTGACGATTGTAGCCACGAGATCTAGATTTCGCTACGGTTAAAACACGTTCGTTTTTTGGAAAAGGTTCATAATATAAACTTATATTTAATCCTAGTTGTTCCTGATATTTTTGAAGATTCTCTGCGAAATTGTGATCATCTTGGGATTCTTTGTCCAGTATCAGTGCAAGATGTCCTAGCTGACCAGACCAATACAGAGACAGACTTCTCAACATCGTACAATAAAAATAATTTAAAAGTCTCGACACAGTACTAGACATTCTAATTGTTAACGTCATATCCGGAATGTCTTTAAATTTTGGAACCTTCAAAAGACTAGATGTTGGGTGCGTGTTGGAAATATGGTGATGTACCGGAACAGCCTGATCACTAGTGGTTAGAAGTATAATTGGCATTATATATTGATGAAAGCATATAAAACTTACTGTTAACAAGATGGCCACGACTGAATAGAATTTCAACGTTTTCATCTTACTCTGAAAGGGAAAAAAAGACAAGGTAGAGAATGGCTATTTTCTAATAATGTTTTTTTTTTAAAAGTAAAATTGGTGTTAAAAATTAGGAACTATGTATTGTCTGTAATCTAGAACATGGAAGCGTATAGGGGTGAATTACGGAGGGGACAATTACTCTAGTATCTAACTATAAGACTAAGATTCTTCAATGAGATTTGGGATACATCATAATAAGTATGTACATGTATGTATTCTGATACACCATAACAAGTATTAATGTATTCTGATACATCATAGCAAGTATATACGTATTCTGATACATCATAGCAAGTATTAATGTATTCTGATACACCATAACAAGTATGTATTATTCTGATAATCGACATTTACTCGATATATAGTAATACATTTTATAAAAAAAACCCAAAACAACCACTCTGCAATCTGCAGTGATATTAACTGCAGAGTTTAGCTCACTGTAGTCTGCCATTTGAGCTTGTGTAGTATGTATCCTAATGAAAATATGGAATCAAGTTTGTGTACAGTGTTTTTATAAAGACTTATCCAGCTGACAGCCTAATCAAATCAAGTTAACACCGTCACCTCTAGTTAATGTATTAAAATAAAATAATGGGTAGACCCAAAGATATTAAAGGGGTTGAATCTATAAAAAGACTCCGCCTACAGGTATCATCCAACTATGATTCGGTCAGAATAATTGAATTTCTCGATTATTCATAAATGGCTTCTCATGTGCTGTATCATACGGCCTGTCATTGAGTCAACTGGCGTGGTTTCGAATCCCCGGTTGTACGTGACAAGGTGTAGGGTCGCCTGTCCAACCTCGTGGGTTTTCTCCAGGCCCTCCGGTTTCCTCCCACTGCTAAAGACCCCTACGCGCAAGCGAATCATGGAAATAAAATTGAACCGTATGTTAGTCCCGAAATGAACAAGTTTGTGTCGAGTGGACGTTAAACCCCATTTCTCTCTCTCTCTCTCTCTCTCTCTCTTTTATTTAAGACATCTAAAAAACATTGTTAAATTTTATTAATATTATTTTTTAAAAACATGTTTTGTCCAATCGACAGTTAATAATTCGTTATTTAAATAATCAGCAAGTTTATATTTTCTATGTTAATTGTATGATTTATATCTGGTGAATGTGTACTGCATATAAATGAAATGAAATGGGGTTTAACGTCCTACTGTTCTGCTCCTAACCTGGACTAATGAAGACGGGCATACGCCATACAGTGTGCTATGAGGGAAATTTTGCCCGGACAGCGGCATTACGGCCTACTCTTATATCGAATTCCAACTGTCAAGGGATCTTTTACGTGTAAGTCAATGTGTACACGGAACCTCGGTTTTCCG